TCGGAAGAGGCCAGAGGGGACGTGTACCGGGAGAGAAGAAAACGCAGCGTTTTAAGTTGAGAGGGTGTTTTAGAAGAAGGGCAAAACGAACATTTAACAACAGGAGTTATTAAATACGTTGGGCAAGCTCGAGGGAATAAAATTCGGTTTTTGGATGAAATTATAGATATATTATTTCATTTAATTGGTTACAATTTTGTATAAGTAGGCCGAAATTATAGATATACCTCGTCGCTGAATCTCTGAGTGGCGAATTTTTCATCTGATGCTCTCACGAGAAGATATAGTTTCTTTATGTTGGGTGAAACCCTCAATAACTTCTCCGCAAAAACTGCAGTATTATGAATAACTTGAAATTAATATATGTTTATTTTGTATATACACCAAAACATGGCATGGCATGTTTGTATTGAAAAAGAAAAAGAAAAAAATGCAAGGTATGATGTATAGATCCTAGAAAACTACACGTACATATATAAAACGCATACGAGCATATGCATATGTTATATAGTTGAATGCATACACGCGCATATATGTTGTAGCTACCTGTATAGATCTAGGGTTTGCATGTAGATGTACGCGTTCTCATAAAAGCATATATATATATATATATATATATGTATATATATATAATATAAACAAACACGAAAAGAGATATGCTTATACATATCGTTCTAGAGAGAGAGAGAGAGGGTACTCTTGGCAAGGAACCCAGTTGCTCCAGTGACCAAGATGGATTTGTCCTCGAGGAACTGAAGAACACTTCCTGCCTCCATTGAAGACGACATAACGAGAGAGAGAGAGAGAGAGAGAGAGAGAGAGAGAGATTTTAGGAGAGTGAATACCTAATGGAAGGGTTATTTATAAGGTTGAACCGAAGTGAGCAGAGAGAGTCTTTCATACTTCCTTTGCCACTCGCAAGCTTTTGACTTCCATTTCGGACAAACGGCTTTGGTGAAAACGAGCACGAAGGTTTAAATTTCAAAAAAGACGCATCCACAATTTTGCTTAGGTGTTGAATGGTTGTAGTCTAGGTGTTGAATGGTTGTAATTTTGAGAGTTTTTAGAATCCAAAAACCCAAAAAACTATCATTCAAATTTTCACAAAATTATTTTTTCTAAAATCTTAGAAAGCCATTTTAATAGAAAAAAAAACAAAAGCTACTTTTTTTATACTTTTCAAATATGGCTTTGAATGGGAATGCGTTTTATTTTGGATTTTTAGTTTTTAGCCCTTGAATGGTTGAAGTTTTTAGAATCTAAAAACCCAAAAAATTATCATTCAAGTTTTCACAAAATTATTTTTCGTAAAAATTTGGAAAGCCATTTTAGTGGAAAAATCAAAGAAAAATCAAAAGCTACTTTTTTTTAGTTTTCAAATATTATATAATCCAAAAGCCAAAAATAAAAAACTAAAACTAAAAACCTAAAATAAAACTCATCCCCATTCAAACCTTAGTTTTTGGATTTTGGTTTTTAGTTTTTGGTTTATAGCTTTTGGATTCTATAATGTTTGAAAACTAAAAAAAATAGCTTTTGATTTTTCTTTAGGTGTTGAATGGATGAAGTTTTTATTTTGAGTTTTTGGATTTTGAATGGAGATGGCTTTTATTTTGGGTTTTTGGTTTTAGTTTTTGGATTTTGGTTTTTATTTTTTTGTTTTTGGGTTTTGGATTTTATAATATTTGAAAACTCAAAAAAAGTAGCTTTTGGTTTTTCATTGATTTTTTCACTAAAATGGTTTTCCAAGTTTTTAGGAAAAATAATTTTGTAAAAACTTGAATGTTGTTTTTTTTGGTTTTTGGATTCTAAAAACTTCAAAAACTCCCACCATTCAAGGCTTAGTTTTTGGTTTTTGGTTTTTGGCTTTTGGTTTTTATAGATTTGTAAATCCAAAAAAAATGTAGCTTTTAATTTTTAATTCATTTTTTTCTATAAAGTAGTTTTCCTAATTTTTATGAAAACCAAATTTAAAAAACTTGATTGGTAATTTTTTGAATTTTTAAAATCTAAAAACTCTAAAAGCTCTCTCCATTCAAGGCCTATAATTTTTCCACTAAAATGACTTTCTAAATTTTTAGGAAAAGTAATTTTGTGAAAACTTGATTAAATAGCTCTATACAAAATCTCGATTTTTCTAATTTGTGCACAATTGGGTTTACAATATCATAAATTTTAAATGTATATGCTAATGCACTACAAGGAAACACGAAAAGGGTGACGCAAACTAAAAGGGTGATGCAATAGTGACGATTTGGTGACGCAAATAGTGACGCAACATAAGCGTCACCAAATCGTCACTATTTAGTGACGATCTGGTGACGAAAAACCCTGCGTCACCATTTGGTGACGCAGTTATGATGTAAAATGCGTCGCCAAATGACGCGCGGAAATTTCGTCACCCTTTCGTCACCCTTTCGTTACTATTTGGTGATGCAATTGCGTCATTCGCCTTTACTGATACAATTTCGTCACTATTATTTTGGTGACGAAATTGCGTCAATTGCGTTACAATTTTCTTTTTTGGTGATACAATTGCGTCACTATTTGTTATTTTAGTGACGAAATTACGTCACTTTATTTTCTTTATACCGCACCGCGAGCTCATACACTCTTGCACTCGAAGAAAAAACTCAAAAAATGGCGTCGAGTAATAACAATATTTATTACTCAAGAAAATGGATGTACGAAAGAGTAAATCCTTCTACGGGTAATGTATCTATGCATTACGAAGAAGAGTTGACCAATTTTTTGAAGTTTACAACAAATCAACATATTTTCCTTGAGAGAGAAAATATATATTGTCCGTGCCAAAGATGTAAAAACGAGAGAGAAGAAGTTCCAGAAGTTGTCATGAGACATCTATGGAAAAAAAGTTTTATCTCTAACTATTACGTCTGGGTTTATCATGGTGAGACGTTTTAAATTTCTGATGAGAATATATCCGTGAGAAATACTGATGTCTATGATCAGCCAAATTCATATATTGAGATGGTTCAAGATACATTTCCATCTCAGGAGAAAGATCTCAACATCAGAGATCTCCCTCAATTGATATGGCCGAATCTCAACCGCAACCACCAATGCAGGTTACAATTGATAACGTGGCTGAGGTATTAGATATCTTGCAAGAAATTTGTTACCGAAACTGGATCCGATAAAAAATCCGGGGACAAAATAGTAATTTAAATTTTAATATGTTTACTTTAAATATTTTGTTTAAATATAAAATTTTAATTAAAATTTTTTTAATATTTTTTAGGTTTGGTGTTGATGTTGAGATAACCACCAATTTATCAAAATTCATCAAACAAAATTTTAAAGGTGCTTATCTTAATTGGAGTACGATCCCACAATGTACCAAAGATTCTTGGTGGTTAAGTTTTGTGGTAAGTTTTTTATATTTATAAATACTTATAAAATTGAAATTGATTTTATTATGTAATTTATATTTTATAAAAAAATTTATATAGCAACAATGGCGTTGGGATCCTGAGCATGATGCACTTGTTCGACACAAGTGGAAGGAGGTTGTAATTCGATTAGTGAAAGCCATAGTCTATAAACTCAAACAAAAATGGTTTTCTGAACCCTATATGGATCTTCCTTATTGGATCGAAAAAGATCATTGAGATCGAATGGTGGAGCATTGGGCTTCCCCAGCTGCCAAAGAGAAAAGTCAGCGAGTGTCTCAGAGTCGAAAAACTGAAATGGTTCCTAATGCCGGAGGGCATGTATACATCGGGAGCTAATCCTTTTAGTCGTGTTATGCATGAAATGGCCTTGGTGACGAAATCGTAAATGGTGACGGTGCAATTGGTGACGATTTTTTTGCGTCACCATTTCCTTGTTTTTTTAGTGATGTTCGAGATTTAAGAATATTATCGTATGTTTGGATTGGTTTTATATATTATCATTTTCTAAAATTTATTATAAATATTTTACTTTATTTTTTATTCAATGATATGGGAGATGACTTAGTATCCTGTAGTAAGTTTGGTGATGTTATGCGAGTGTCTTTCGTCACCGTTTGAATTCAATCAGTTTTTTGGTAAAAAATTAAAATTTGATTTTGTCCAAATTAATTAAACTCACTTTGATGATAGTATTACTCTAATTCATTGAAAATGGGGGAAACTAGTACGTTTCTTTAATTTAAAAAACTAATTCATTGAAAATGAGGGAAATCAGTACTCTAATTGAAAAGGAATGGCAACCACACTCCGTCTAAGTCCAAACGGTGTAATGGAAATAGGCCCCATAAATTTAAAATTCTTAAAAATAGTTTTTACTATTAAGTATACATTATTATAATAAAACAAAACAAATCTAATTTTGAAGAAAATATCCTTTCAACTCAACATTTACTTTTAAAAAAATCATTATTCCAAACAATTTTTTAGATATAATTACAATACATTATATTATTTAATAAATAAACATAATATTATACATATTATTATATTAGTTTGAATTTAAGACTAAATAGATTTTATAATTCTTGAATTATATCTATAATAATTAAAAGATTTATTGAAAAATTGAAAATGAATTATATTTATGATAAGCACCTAAATTTATAGTTTTTTACAAAAAATATTATTTTATCATTAATATATAAAAACGTTAAAAAATTTATTATAAAAATAATAATTTTTAAAATCGTTACATAATTTTATTATTAATTTTATTAGTATATAAATTTATATTTTTATTGAATATTTTTAATAATAATATTTTTATTATATAAATTTGTATTTTTTCTTAATATAATGTTGTATAATTTATATAGCTTTGACAAATATTGAGACGACTCTGAATCGAATCGAACTGTTTCAAATTAAATAACCGTTTGTTTATAATTTTTTGAAATCCAAAATAAGTGAATCCGAATTAATGTTAGACCAAATAAATCGCATTTGAATTAATTGTAAATGAATAAACTGAATATAATCGTTTTGCACTTATATATCAGTGTATCACCTATTAATATGTAGTATATATTATATCTATAGAAAAATTAGTATAATGAGATTGTTTTATAGTTGTGATATATAACTAAAGTGAGGTTTTTTAAATTTTTTCTTCAATAATTTTTTTTTTGGTATCATCTACTATTATAATTGAACCGACCAAACTAAATTTTTATCTGGTTATAATTTACTTATAACTTTAATTAAATATTTTGTATCAAGTTTTAAAATAATTATATCTTACGAAACGAGTAAGATTTTATTTGTATATAACCTTGTACGGAAAACGTGTGTTTAGATAATGGTATGTAAAATGTGAAATATTCTATCGATATGTTTTATGTAAGATATTAAATAAAAAGAAAGAAAAAAATGATAGGTCTAGTCAAGTCACTAACTGTATAATTTATTTAGGGGTGGCTATCGGTACCCAATAAAAAAAGAGAGAAAATACGTGACAAAAATATAAAATAATATTAATTTTAAATTACAGATTGTACATTAACCGGTCTTCTTGGTTTACAATATGGTTAAATCCGGTTGAATTCGGAAAATCAGATTTTTTTCCCTGAACTTGTTTCTTTGTTTTTTCTTAAAAAAAACCGTGAGGGAGGTACAGAAAAGTACAGTCTGACCTTTATATACACAAAGCCAAAAAAAAAAAAAAAAAAAAAAAAAAACCAGGCGACACGAAGAAGAAGAAGCCATTGACGTGTCTGAGCAAAAGCTTTCCAATTTTCCTTTCCACAGACCAAAAAAAAAAAAACCCAAGAGACCAACCAAAAGACATGACAGCGGTTCATCAGAAAACGATCAAAGTGGCTTTTTCTCCGACCAAACCAAAAATCGAACATCTCTGTTCTCTGTCCTTCGATTCTTCATCGTCCGTATGATCTTTCCCACAGCTACTGTGGCTCGACGTCTACGTATTCGGCTCGCTTTTCCTCGTACTTCACTCCCACCAAGAACCTTATGCTCGTCTGTGTCAAGAAACAAGATCCAACAATTGCCCTATCCAAAACCCTGTTTTCGCGAAAGAAGGGGGATGTTTCGATACCTGTTTCGGGTCGTAGACTGCGTACTCGTTGAACTCGAGAGGACTGTCTTTGTGTTCCGAAGGAACTAACCGACCACACGGTACTTTGATGTCGTCTCCCCAGACAAAGTGTGTGGATTCTTCCGTCTTCTTCCTCCCTAACCCTTTCACTCCCATCTTTTTCTCTTCCAACGATTTCGTGTCCTGCAAGAAACCATGCCGTAAATCAAACCGGATGCCTTCTCGCGCAAGCAAAGAGTTTCCCGGTATAAGCCCTTTGTACCTCAGGCGGACTGGTGAGTTCCGTTATTTTCTCTCCGAGCGATGCCACGGCCAGGATGAGGAACCCTTCTGGTCTGTCAACCGCAGTAAAGCCATACCTTGCAGCTTCGGCTGCAGCGTCGGAACAAACTATCGCTTTCCCGAACTGAAAAAAAAAACAAGAATCTTTCTCAGTTCAGACACTGAAATTGCCCAAGGACAAACAGAGCAAGTCTCGTTACCATGTAACCCGGGACGGGGAGAGAACAGACAGCCGGTAAGAATCCTTTGTAGACGTGTCTTAGTAGATTCGAGCTTCGAGATCCTACGAATCAAAGAACAGGAACATCATCGAGGTTATTCATCCCGTCGAAGAAAAACCCAAGCTATAGACAGTCACTTCAGCGGTTTATCGCTCTCTTACCACACCACAAGAGAACCTTGTTCGGAAGCTTCTTGATTTCATCCAACGACGGCATAGCGTCCGACTCAACGGAAAAAATGTTCTCGACCGAGACACCATACTCCTGAAACAAGAAAATGATATTAAACATCTCAGTTTCAGTTTTCCTCTGGCTTGGGTTTGTGTTTATGGGAAAACAGTGAAAGGATCTTACAACATCAGCCACTCGGACAGGCTCATACGTTGTCTCCAAGTACTTCACAATCATCTTATAGTCTTCGGATTCTTTGTCCACCACGGAAATTTTGCAGCCGAGTTTATTGTACCGATCGGATAACGGGTCGTCAAGAGTATCCGCACCCATGTCCCCAATGACACGAGAAGCCACGTTAATATCCCGTACAGTCTCGAACACGGCTGCCCCCTGCAATATTTGAACACATCAATTCACATTTCCGGAAACTTGTAATAACCAGAGAAAGAACCAAACAAAACTTACATGCTCTGCAAGTTCATGGAAGTCGTGTAAGATCATCGGCCTCGTCACATGCAAAAGACTGAACCACCGCGAACTAAAATCCGCCCACAAGGCCGTGGCCTTTTGACCCGTTTCTGTCGTCGTTTTGAACTTCTCGATAAACTCGAGCAACACCTCCTCACCTGCAGGAAACCGAGCCACGAGTCACGTACCAGCTACCCGCAAAACAAAGATACAAGTAAATATAAACGGAGAACATCGGTATCGCTACATCGTTTCAAGTGGAGATCGGTCACCATTCCTATAGGAAGATCAGGTGGATCCAATCCTAACTCCATTAACGCATACCTACAGAACATAGAACCCAAGTCATCGTGACAGAACAACAGTGTCTCGGACAGAAATCGAGAATGCCTGAAAAAACATTACTTGTAGATCTCTTGACTACATATCACTTTCATGAAGTTCGCAACGAATGAATCGAGCTTGCAATGAGCAGCCGCAACACCGAGCTGCCTAAGACCGAGAGCCCCGTGTCTCACCTCAACCCCGTCGTCCTACAAAAGCCGAGAGTGCGAAAAATTAAAACCTTCTTTCGGTTTCCATTAAGCTGCAAGAAAGCGCAAACGTTTTTTCCAAACCATGTCAATAGGGAAAAATTTATGCGGCTTCTTCTGAATCTTCTTCTCCCGTTCCCAAGGCTCGAATTCATTTCCCGTTACTTCCTCGAAAAGCCTCGAGAACTCTCTGATCGCAGCCTCAGTGTCTTCCCATTCCTCGAGCCGCTCTTCAGCGTTGGGGTCGTCTCCTACTTTTCCTCTCTTGAAGTACAAATTCAGGTTACTCTCCGGCACCGTTATGAGTTGCATAATACAATATCTGCCCGAAAGTGATAAACGAACTACCGTCATGAACCCGGACAGAGGAAAAAAAAGCCGAGAACAAGAAAATGACTTAGCCTGAATCATACTCGTTACGCCCTTTTCCCAAGTCGCAAATGGAGAACGCGCAGTTGTACAAAAGCCCATCTTTCTCGAGAATCTTTCCTCCTCTTTCTCGAAGCCGAGTGTCTTTGTATACTGCCCTCTTTCCGTACATTTTCAGCTGGACATCAAGAAAAATATCGAATCAATAAAACCGTCGCAATCACGACAGAATCGTTTAGGTCTCAATTCAAAGATGACTAGATACCTCTCCTGATAACAATTCCAGAGCTTCCTGGCTCGAATCTTGCTTGTCCCAGGGAATTCCTTTCCCTGCAACCGAGAGATCGCTAACCACATCATATGCCTCGAGAGGTTGCACTTCCTGTTTCTCTATGCTATCGATCAACCACGCCTCACTCACAACCGGAATATTCCGTTCCCTATTACGAGACAGCAAATCGATACTTATCGAGAAAACGCTTCTAATGAAAAAAAAAAGTTCATTTTTTCCACGTACATTGCTTCCACCAACTTGGGCGAGCCTCCTCGCTCTCTTTCCGCAGGCGAAACGACCAGACAAGTCACACCTGTTACAGAAACGGGTAAATTAGAAGACGAGAAATCCTGTGACTCCGTTTCTTCGAGAGGAAGGAATCCGGTTCTTCTTGTACCTTGAATAGAGTTGGTCACTTTTCCGCCATGCCTTTCGATCTTTTTCTTCCAGTATTGCTGAAATGTTCGATTCTAATTAGCTCTTATCGAAATGTATAACCATGAGACAGAAAGAATCCCGAAGATTAGCGGAAACGTACATGTGTTCTCGTGAGACGTCCCATGAGAGAAACCATCTTTCCCGAAAAGGGTTTATCAGCAGCCCTCAGTTCCCGTTTCGGCCGCCGGCTCGGATCCTGGCGTTTCTTGATCATCTGCACCAGAAAATAGGCATCAACAAACACGAATCAACGGATTTCGGGCGCTTCAGACAGATTACTTACATCGGAAACAGCGGAATTCAGCACGGAATCGGGGATTTTGATTGAATCTTCTTTCCTCGGGGGAGATTTCGTGCTGAACACGCAACTGCACCATTCGCTTATATCCGATTTGCAGAAGTAGCGCTTATTGTCACAGTACACATCGTTTCCACACACAGGACACTTCTCTAATGCTCCATAGAAGAGCAAATCTTGGCTGTGTTCAAGAAATTTCCAGAGATCGATAACTAACTATGAACGCGATGCAAGAATCAGACATGTGATTTAGATTTGATTGGTAGGAAACGAAAACTGACCATCGAGATATTACTTCGTCGTGTGTACCGGAAGAATCCTGACCGTTGGATTCAAGAACTTGTTTCATCTGCTCAACGGATAGATTCGCCTTCACAGCTTCGCAGAATTCTTTGAACTCCGACACGGCGGCGGAATCTCCGGCGCCGTTTCCGTTCTCCGGCTTTGCCTTCTTCGGCGAGTGGTCGGATTCTGGAAGCTTCCCTTCCGCTTTGTGCTTCCTCGCCATCACCTTCTGATGATACAATCATACAAATATATATATATATATGCATATATATATCATAATCTTAGATTAATTACACAAAAATGATTAACAAATAAGAATCTTTTTTTTTTTGAATACCTTATCGTCGGATGACATGTGAGCATGAGACCTTGTGTCATGCACCTTTCATGAATTTCATCACCAAAAAACAAACATGTCTCAACCCAACAAACAAGATTCCGAAAACAAGAACTAACAGTAAATGTTCTTGCACGTATATACACGTGTACATACATATATATACATACATCTGTATATACCTTTCTTCAACATCAGTTGTTCTGATATTCAAATGTCTTGAGGATAGTTTATAGCAAGATTAAGACAGTATATATAGATCGAACTTTTTGATTCAAGCGATGGATAAATCTGTTCTTAAACGCGATTCAAATGCAGAAATATCAAATATATCAATCTGAAAACAAAAATAATCAGAACATTTCTGATTTCTCATTACAGAAACTAAGGAATAACTCAACCTTCATATTGGTTCTTCGTGGGCGAATCTGACGATAAAGCAGAGCTCTTGCCAATGGAGGAACAAAGCTTGTTTTCTTCGAAGCTTTTGAGATGATTCTCAGACAAGAACGAAAGAAGGATATAGAAGACGAAGCGTTCAGTAACGGTGCAACGAGAATGCTGCTGTGTCTTCTCCAAGACAGGACATGTGTTTCCCGAGCACGTGGGTGCTGCCACGTGAATGGGCTTTAGCCTTCGACAAGTGGTTGGTTCGAGCAATCGGGTTTATGCCTTGATCTCTGCATGCAAGTCAACTTTCATCTTTTACATGTCGCGTCAGTTTTCTTCTGTTTTTTTTTGTCTTTTCAGGTTCTTTTTTTTTAATAAAAATACAATAACTCATGGCATTTTTAATGGAAATTGTTATGCCGAGTATTTGTAAATTATTTTTCAAATTTTACGTAGTTTTCAACGAGATCATATATTATAAAAACAAATTGACTATTTATTTAAAAAGTATAATTTCAGAACAGTTATAAAATGAAAAGACATCAAATTTCTAAATATAATCTACAAAATAGTTAGATAATACAGTTTGTAGTAAAAATTGTTTTTTTTCCTAAATTTAGATAAAAATAAAAATAAAAATAAAAATAAATTGATATTTTATCTAGTTTTACAGCTTCAGATACAATTCTCTTCCTCTGTACTCGCTCGCGCTCGCTGTTCTTATTCGAAGGCAGAAGTTCTGGGCTCTTGTATTGTCATTTTCTCAGCTTCAATGTTGGCAGAATCTGTGGAGAACCGAGTTAGGTTTTGCGAACCCGATATGCGACGTCGCTGTTTCTCTCCGGATTTGAAGCCGGCTCTAGGTTTTCGGTGGTCTTTTCTCTCAGCCTCACTACCTGATTCTTCTGTTTGCGATAATCTCGGTCCTCCGGGTTAGGTAAACTAGTGGGAAAGTAGAAATTGTTCTGATTTCTGGATTCCCCATTTAGAGCAATTAGGGTTTAAGGGTAAATTTGGGATTGAAGGCTAAGAGAGTTTAGCCCAGAAATCAAGCTTGTGTTCCCCCGGTCTAGTGTTAGGGCCCAATTCATCCTTGATGAAGAAGATGATAAAGTAGTATGCACTGTTTACTTGAAGGAGGTGTTGAAGTACACTAGTCGGAATGTAGAAATTCTTCTGATTTCTGGATTCCCCATTTAGAGAAATTGGGGTTTAAAGGTAAATTTTGGGATGGAGGGTTTGGCCTAGAAATCAAGCTTGTGTTGTCTGGTGTTAGTACTCAATTCATCACTGATGGAGAAGATGATAAAGTGTACGCATTGTTTACTTGAACGAGGTGTTGGAGCTGTGTTTGCATTAGGATACAAGTCGGAAAGTAGATTTCTTTTTTTCCTCTTCTGATTTCTGGATTCCCCATTTAGAGGAAATAGGGTTTAAGGGTAAATTTTGGGATTGAAGGCTAAGAGGCTTGTGTTCCCTCGATCTAGTGTTAGGACTCAATTCACCATTGATGAAGAAGATGATAAAGTATCTGCGTTGTTTACTTGAACGTGGTGTTGATTCTGTGTTTTTGCATTTGTTGACATCAAACATTGATTAGGACCAGAAATCCAAAGGAATCAGGAGCTTTAGATGACTCCCAAGTGTCTTAGACTGAGGTTTCTGGAGGACATAGATTGCTCAAGTCATTTAACTACCTAGATCATTAGGATGATAAGATCTCTTAATGGTGTAAAACTACCATGATCTTTGGATAACGTTAGCCTTATTTGGTGTGGATAATAATTCTAGATGGGTCGGGGAGTTAACAGGCAGGCAGATTTTTTCTGAACCCGCTTTCGCTAAAATGCCCTGTTACGAATTGGTTCCATGAATGTGTCTCACTTATTGTCTTCCTTACCAAATGTATGTTGTCATATCAAGTAAATGTTTAGTATATGGTTTTGTTTTCTTCCATTCCGTACCAATTAGATTTTGCAAGGGTCTTGCACATGTTTCTTGTTGTGTTTAAACTAAACTTGGAATAAAGGTATGTGTTATAATACCACAAGTATCTGCATTATTCGGTTCTGTTGTTGTGTCTTGACTTCATTTACTGCTTGTGATTGCTCTGTGTTCTACTTTTTCATTTGAGGAACATTATTCATCCATACTTGTGTGAATTCTTCAATCTCTTGCTGCTTACTAAAGGTGTTTAGACAAAATTTCTCTTCTTGGGTTTCTATGAGATTATTTGCCTTCCTTCGTTATGTTATTTCGTTGTTGTTTCATTCATGGATGGTGTGAAGTTCTTGGCTCCATATTAGTTCTTAATAATCTGTGTCCAAGCTTCATTTGCTTCTTAAATGTAGATTGCTCTGCATTGTTCTTACCCTTCATGTTGTGAAAGAAACGGTGTTGATATTTTTTTGCATTGGCGTTTGAAATTCCCTTTGGAAGCTTTTGGTGGTGTAACATTGGAGTTTGTTTTTAGATGAAGATGAGGAATATTCCTGTACTTTATATAGAATTTCTAAGTCACTAAAATTATATATATCTATCTTCCGTATTAGTTTTTCTACTCTAAGATTCTACCGACGAATTTCTACGATTATATATATATATATAGTCAATTAGCTAAAGATATTTAGATAAGAGAATCAAATTTTTATATAGATGATTTCACTTTTGAGTTCATTTTATTATTATTGGTTCTATTTAACCCCTCTCAATGGTTTAGGGAATTTTTTTACTATTTTTTTTGTTGCTTGTGTAAATAATGTTTTCAATATGGTTGGATATGTAAACACTAATAGAATTTATATAAAATATTTTTTCAATAATTCAGAAAGTGAGAGTGGGAATCATGTTCTTGAAACCCAACAAAAAGGCGACAACACGTCACGTGACTGTCCCTGTTCAGTAGAGACAAGTGGATCAGAATCCGACGACGTATCTACCCGGTCTCATATGTGACAGGCATTTGTCTCTCTCTCTCTCTCTCTCTCTCTCTCTCTCTCTCTCTGACTGTAGAATCCAATTATAAGCATGATCAGTAGCTTCAGCTGAAGCGTTACCCGAGAAAGAATCAGAAGGATCTGATCTTGTTCACTTCTCCGAGGTGCGCTCTCTCTCTCGCCGTTGGGATTTTCACTTCATTCTTTGATCTGTTTCAAGCTTTCTTGAACTTTTGATTTCCGAGGTTCTGGATCAAACCATGTCTTTGGTTGAGATCCTAAGGTTTCTAAATTTGATGGGCACAAATTTGTTTCAGACGGAAAGAAAGTGTTGTTTCATTTGAGCTAACGTTGTCTTCTGAATGTATTTAGACATTCGTATATATGTGCGCTTGTGTACTTGCGTATGCTTTCCAAGATCATTTTTCAGTAGAGATTATGGTTTTACCACTTCGATTCTTGAATCCAGCAATGGGTTCAATGTTAAAAACAGATTTGGATCCGATCAAGATCGTGCCCTTTTAATTTTTCTTAAACCCTAACATCGTTAAAGGAGGGGAGCCTTGCAGTAGAAGCTATACTGATTTATACGTTTCCAGGTGATGATGATGTTGCTTCCTGTAACGGTTGCAGTCGCAGTTTGCCTGATAGGGTACGTTTACCGGTCACTGAAACCGCCGCCCCCGCGAATCTGCGGAGCCCACGACGGTCCTCGGGTTACCTCTCCAAGAATCAAGCTCGGAGATGGTAGGCATTTGGCCTATAGAGAAGTGGGTGTCCCGAAAGACGAGGCCAAGTATAAGATCATCGTTGTCCATGGCTTCAACAGCTCCAAAGACGTTGAATTACCCATCCCCCAGGTACCCCCATTACCCCCTTTTTTGTCTTTTCTTGTAACGAGACTCTGTTTTTAGTACAAGAAATCAGACTTAGCATCTGACAATGTGCCAACAATGTCTTGATGAAGAACATACGAAACCGCATCAGCCTTGTCTTGTTGGGTACCGAAGTATATGTTTGTAGGAAGAATAAGCAGTCTTGGTCGGTTCTGTTCTGATCCTTTTCAGTTTCCCGTTGTGAATTTGTTATGATTTCTTTTTTTTCAGGAACTTATCGACGAATATATGATATATTTCTTGTACTTCGATAGAGCTGGATACGGAGAAAGTGATCCGTACCCTTCTCGTTCCGTGAAAACGGAAGCATATGATATCCGAGAACTAGCCGACAAGTTACAGATCGGGTCAAAGTTCTACCTTCTCGGGATATCCCTCGGGGCATACCCGGTTTACAGTTGCCTCAAATACATTCCACACAGGCATGGCCTCACTCTCCCATCCCGTTTCCCAGCTTTATGCATCTTTTAACTAGGAGTGTCCATTTCAGTTTTCGGTTCGGTTGTATTCGGGTTCTGTTTCAGTTTCTAATGACAAAAATGTTTATTTTCCAAAGAAATTTTTGTCTTTTCGGTTAATTTTATATTCGGTTTTAAAAAATCCACACCCTTTCTGGTTTTATATCGAATTCGGATAACGGTTATTTGTTATTCGGATTGGATTGAATGTTCATCCTTAAACCGCTCATGTTTACCGTATTAGTCTATTATACTCTTATTATCTTTGAAATTATTTACATAATCACAATAATGCCCTTATATCCTTTTAACGTTTGGATTCCGGTTCAACAGGCTAGCCGGAGCTGCCATGGTGGTTCCGTTCGTGAACTACTGGTGGACTGGTGTGCCTCGGAGCATATCGAGAAAAGGGTTCGAGCGGCTCCTACGGCAGGACCAGTGGGCATTTCGAGTGGCTCATCATGCTCCGTGTCTGTTCTATTGGTGGATGACTCAGAAATTTTTCCCGTCACTGAGTATCGTCACGGGGAACACTTCCATTTTCAGCGACCACGATATGGACATCATTAGGCAATGGATGGCGAATCCGAGCCCTGGCATGGTAATTCTAAATACCCTTTTTGCCCATTTTTTTTTATAAATATCGAAATCAGATAGATATGTCCTTTGATGTCAATATAAAATCATATAATTGTTAGAAAAAATTCAACAAATGAACTTGTCAATTTTCACAAAATAAAATCTAAATTTTGTTTTATCAAATAAAACTTGATTCTTGATTTATAAATAAATAACTTTATAAAAACTATCATTTTTAAATCTATAGTTGATGCACGGGATATATGGATGATGACGTGTCAAATATGATCTAAGTGTTGATTTGTCACCTAAGATATCGGTATAATATATCAGCATTTATGTTTAAAAATGACAACGATTATAAAATTCGGATTTATTTTCGATTGAAAAACAAAATTATAAAATTCGGGTTTATTTTCGATTGAAAAATAAAATTATGGTTTTATTTAATGAAAAACAAAGTTTAGGTTTTGTTTTGTGAAAATTGACTCAAGATATTTTTTTAGAGTTTTTTCTAATTGTTATTGATTTATTGAAAAAAAGTTATGAAAAGTGAAAGAAGAAAATAAATAAATTTAGAGTTAATTAGGGTTCAATTAGTTCGTCCTTTTTTATAGGGCCCAAAATCTTGAGGGGCGTTTAGTTTTTTCAATTAGACCCATGTATTCTCTTAACTTTGGATTTCCGACCCCCAGGAAAAAATTCGGCAACAAGGCGACCATGAATCGTTGCACCGAGACGTACTAGCTGGATATGGAAAATGGGAATTCGACCCGACCGAGTTGGAAAACCCGTTTCCGACCGGGGAGGGGTCGGTCCATATTTGGCAGGGACTCGAAGATCGAATAATTCCACGTGTCGTTAATCGGCATATATCGCAGAAGCTGCCATGGATAAAGTACCACGAGGTCTCGGGTTTCGGACACTTTCTAATGTTCGAGAAGAAGAATTGCGAAGATGTGCTAAAGGCCCTTTTGGTCGGATAAAGCCGGTTTAGGTCGGTTTAATTTATTGTGGTTAAACTTAAAGTGTAAGAGTTGTGTAAATTACAGTTTGCTAAATAAATAACAGGAGAGAAATCATTTTATAAATATATTTAAAAATTAATATATTTTGAATATCGACTATCGAGTATAAATTTAAATAATTATATAAGATTATATAGCATATGAGAATTTGATTAGAACAATGGATTTTTTTAGACATTTTTTTATAAAAATTTTATGTTTTGTTTGTATCGGATGATGCGGTATGATAAATGAATGTTTTTAACAAATTTTTAAAAAATGAAATTTATTGGATCAGGTGGATAAAGCAATTAATAAATGGATCGTTTTTTCCTATTAAATGTATTTTCCAACTCTTACAAAATTCTCTCTCTCTCTCTCTCTCTCTCTCTCTCTCTCTCTCTCTCTCTCTCTCAAAATATCCGCAGGCTTGCTCCTCTCTCTCTCACTAAATTTTCCGACGTCGGCGTCGCAAGTTTTCTCCCGGCCGTCAGTCTCTCTCTCTCTCTCTCTCTCTCTCTAGGGTTCATAGAAAATTTTACTAGAATTCCATGTTGCCTGATCTTACTGAATGGTTTTTTCTTTCCTGTTTGGGAATTTTAGCATCTCTCTTGGATCTTGATAGATCACCGTCATTATGTCAAGTAACTTTTTTTTTTATTTGGCAAACTTTAATTTGTGGAAACTTATGGATATATATCGACACCTCCTATATATTATATAAGATAAGAATATGATACGTCAGTTGCATAAATCGACCAAGTTCTTGTTCAGGTGTCTATATGGATATCTGATATCAATATATATAGAAAATCAAATCCATATAATATATATAGAGCAAAACAAGATTTCGTGTATTGAACTAAACGCCTCTTCTTGATTTGGCTTGAGATCAGGAACTATGGACTCTCTTTGGGACGTGCCTCACGTGACATTCAAGGGGATGGTGCTGCTTCTAATAGCGGTTGCGACTGCGTTTGCGTTTGGTATCATAGAGTACGCCTTCCGACCATTTAAACCGCCGCCGTCAAGAGTATGTGGAGTAGGTGACGGCCCTCCGATTACTTCTCCGAGGATCAAACTCGGTGATGGAAGGCATTTATCCTACAGAGAAACCGGCGTCTCCATAGAAGAATCTAAGCATAAAGTCATCATCATCCATGGCTTTGATAGCTCAAAAGATCTCGAGCTACCCATCTCTCAAGTAATTCCCAATCTCTCCCCCTCTCTCTCTCAAGAATGATGTGAAGACCTTCAAGAATGATGTCTTGTCGGATTTCATATCTTGTTCGGTTCGGTTATCGTTATTTTTTTTAAGGAACTTATCGAGGAGTTCAAGATATACATCCTACAGTACGATCGAGCTGGCTACGGAGAAAGCGATCCCTACCCTTCACGCTCTGTCAAAACCGAAGCATACGACGTTCAAGAACTCGCGGATAAATTACACGTCGGTCCGAAATTCCACGTCATCGGGCTATCACTCGGGTGTTACGCAGTTTATTCTTGCATCAAATACATCCCACACAGGCACATATCTATTAAGAAACCCTATATATATGAATGCTCTTTCAATTCCATTTCTTCTATACCGTTTTTCAAAATTCGATCCAACAGGTTTTCGAACATCGATCTGAGATCTCGGTTCGGTTTTCGTAGACTGGCGGGAGCTTCGTTGGTGGTTCCTGTCGTGAATTATTGGTGGAAACGTGTTCCGGGAGATCTATTGAGAGAAGGGTTTAGGTTGTATAACTTGCAAGACCGATGGGCTTATAGAGTTTCTCACTATGTTCCATGGCTGTTCCATTGGTGGACGAAGCAACAGTGGTTGACTCGGTCGTGTATGATGGCCGGAAACACTTACATGTTGACTCCCGCTGACTTGAAGTTCTTGGAGATTTGGTCGGAAAATCCAATCCCTCACAAGGTATAAGCTAAATCCTTTTTTTTTAATTGATATTAATAAAGAAAGTGTTCATAATTTGAAAAAAAAAAGCCGGAAGTTTAGACCGAAACCGAAATTTTTGTAGAGGTGACATTCATTTAAGCGTGCCCTAAAAAGTAAAACATATAATATTAAAATGTGCATTTAGTAACGTAAACACAACCGAAAGTTAAAAGGGAATTCGAAACAAACTAAAATTCGGATATAGAAATTGAATAGAAATATGTTTTCTGAATTTGAAAAATCCAAACACAAAAATAATAAAAAAAAATATGAAAATTCACAAAAAAATTATAATAATATCTATGCCAGTTGAAAACTATATTGTTCTAATATTTTTCATTCGAATTAGTTCTTTTTAGTCATTCTCTTTTTGGAATGTTAGATTCAGTTTGTGCGTGAGCTTTTTAGCCATTCTATTATAAATATTAAAATTTTTTATCAAACTTTTAATATTATTAATTTCACTCAGACTCTTCCACTATTTTTGATTAAATTAAATAAGAGCGTTTCAACGTAAAATAAAAGCAAGACTAATAGGAATTTCAATATCCCATAATTCGATATTAATATTCTTTATTTTACCGGTTTATATATCACATAAACCTAACTAATGTTTTACGTAGAGCCCTTTGGAATTCAAGGATGAAATAATAGTGGTGTCAAATCCAAAATAATAAAAAATGATAATACTGGTTAAATTTAACCCCATTATAAATCCTTCGGATTATCAATATTGGACCCCCAGGAGAAGATTCGGCAGCAAGGGGAGTACGAATCCGTACATCGAGACGTCATGGTCGCGTACGGGAAATGGGAGTTTGACCCCACGGAGTTGGATGATCCATTTCCTAGTAAGGAAGGGTCGGTCCATTTATGGCAAGGCCTTGATGATAAGATTAGTCCGCTTTGTGTTAACCGTTATATATCGCGGAAACTGCCATGGGTTAAGCTTCACGAGGTCCCGAGAGGTGGGCATCTTATGGTTTACGACCAGGAAATCTGTCAAGCCGTTTTAAGGATGCTTTTAGTTGGATAGATCATTTTGTTTCCATTGAGAAATAATTCACCTTAAGATGATGTTTATATAGTTCAACACAGTATCGCTCCGAGTTAGAATCTCAAGTTTGAGAAGGGATATATACTTCAAATCACATACCTCCGACCTCGAGATTAGTTCGGGTCTTGGTCAAAAACACTCGGTTACGAAAAAAAAATCGATAATAAAGTTGACGATTGTTTAAAGTTCTTGTTTTTAGGTTATTTTTTATTATTATCATGTTACCAACCCCTTATCCATAGCGGAGTCGCGTTCGGACAATTTTATATTCGCGAGGAATCGTGGAACCATAGAAATTTACCCCTAAAATTACATGAAATTGATAAAATTGAAATCGTAGGTTTTTTTGGGTATATAATATAACCAACAAACGCATGTTGGTTCTCATCCATAATAGAATTTCCGATAACTAAGTTATTATAATTAAAAAAATTATACGAATTTGAAATCATTGTAACATTTGATGATTTTTTTGTATGATATATTCATTTATTATTTATATTATTAATTATTTATTATTTGGAAAAATAATTAAACCTATATAAAAGAAACCTCTAAAAAAACAATTTTTTTCAAAGATATTGTCGGCCAATATTTTATACTCGTTAACGTAATAACGGGTATATTATATATGTATATGTATAATAAACTTTCCAATTAAAAAAATGAATAATATTTGTAAGTTTGACAATCCGAACAAATTACATATGTTGTTATGGGGTTGGTCCAAGTCACACCGTTATGATTGGGTCTCAACATCAAACACAAGATGAAATCGTATGGATGAAGACATAAAAGAGAAACTCTAAATATTTCAGGTGTGACGTGGAACCGGTCCTAGAGCCTAAACCAATCCGGTTTAGAGAAATAACCGGCCGGTATATCTAGGTTCCAAACAAATCCAATCCAAATCTTTATTTAGGTTTTCATACTGTTTGATACTGCGGTATCTCTGTAACACTGCACGGATACATGCACAGGATGGGCTGAGGGAAATGTGGCGTTTCGAAACGCTGAGGAGCGATTTCATAATAGCGTTTGGAGATTGGGACCTACCCGACCCGTTTCATTCGGAGAGGGCAGCTGCAGCGTTGCTTGTGTCGCAAGTGACAGTGGATAAAGTACCACGAAACGAAGGCCCCAAAAGGAGGGGCCACTAGATCGCTCACTACGACGCCGTTTTGAGGTCTCTTCTTCTTGTGTATATAGCATATTTGGTATTAATATCAGAAAAAATATTTGGATGATGAAGATTGCTTATATATACATACAGTTATATGTTCATAATCCATTTTTTAGTATAAATTATGTATATATATATATATTTGATTGGAGATAAATTGCAACAAATATTATAAAATAGTAATGATTTAGTTGAAGAAAACAAATTGGTCTGACTTGTAAGAATAAGAAGAAAAAAAAATTAGGCAACGTGAAAATCAACCGTAGAGTTGTTTAATCAATATACACACACGCTAATTCAGGTGCGTGCGTGTGCGCGTGCCTAAACAAACCGAGAGAGGGATGGATGACGTCATCAATGATGAAGTTTTAATTTTTTAAAACTAAAAAAAATTCACAATCAAATTTTTATAATTTTTTTTAAATTTAGAAAATCATTATGATACAAAAATTAACTAAAAACTAAAAACTATATTTTCTCATTTAAAAAACCAAAAACCAAAAACCAAAACTAAAAGGGATAAATCCAAAAAAAATCTTTCAACTATCTCATGTACACCAAAATTTTTTTTTACTTAAAATTCATTATAAAACCTTCAACTATTAACTTTGATAAAAAAAATTAACAACTATATAAATAATTTAAAATCAAATTTTCACTTTAAATTTGTTATAAAACTATTAATTTTAATTAAAAAATCCATCATTTATCTAAAAAATATTTTATTTTAAATATTATAAAAATATATAAAATTTGAATAGAAATATATATATATATATATATATATATATATATATTATACAATTCAGGGTCCCGGTGATGATACTGCCGATTTCTCAAATCAACCCTCATCTATTTCTGATCTTTCATTTGAAAGAATGGACATGAGAAAGCTGAATGAGAGTACATTGTACAAGAGGGCGCTTTCTGCTTTAATCGAAGAAGATAATGGCGAGGAAGTCGTAGAGGTTGGTGAAGTGAAAAATCTGTCTCTTCATTATGTGAGTGATGATTATCACTGCGGTTCATGTACCCATATCGACACCGAGACCAGAGAAAGAGACAGAACGGAATCTGAAGTGGAGTCAAGTGCAGAATTTCAAACCCTGAAGGATTGTTTGTTTGACAGGTTTTCTAGAGATATGAGCGTCATGTCCAACTCTTTTAGAAGCGTAAGCGTGCCGATTCCTGATCGTAGCAATAAACAGTGGCTGGGAGATGATGATTTATCGCATTCTAAAGTTGCACTCGGCGGTAAGATATGTTCAAACAATCCGAGTCAGCTACAACCAAGGGAAATGATCGTTCCCGACTTCCCATCAACTGAAACCCAGTATCAGTTGTTGTCTTTGGATGATCGACTTCTTCTGGAACTACATAGCATCGGTATATATCCCGAGGAATTGGTAATTTTGGCTAAACTCTAGCTTTTTTCCATTGTTTCTTTAGTGATATATGAGCTTACAGAGAAATAATAGACGCTGAGTGGAAAACTGTGAAACAAAGTAACAAATATGATAATCACCTTTTGTCTCGCTCAACTTTTTTCTCATGTTTCCATTGTTTATCGTCTCATGCTTCCATTTGTTTGTGACAGCCTGATCTAGCAGAAGAAACTATCAGTACAGATGTTCTCAATAAAATAGATTCAATTTGAAATATAACATTTGTATACAAATTTATTATATAAAGATTGATGTTTGTAATATTTATATAAATTTTAAATATGATAAATTTAAATAAATATTATATTTTTATTTAAAATTTAAAATATTTTTATAAAATTGAATGGTGTTTTTATATAAATGAAATAGCTGATTTGTTATCCAAAACTAAAAAAACTCAAAATAAAGACTAATATATATGGGTGTGTGTATATATATATATCATGACGCTAATGTACATGGGAAAATCTTACCGGGAGCAAAGGGTTTTTCTTCTCCTTTGATCTCCCTGAGAAATTGATTTCGTTGACGATGTTGGGTGAGAGATTCTAACTTCGCTTCGATCCGAATTTCGCTTGAATTGTCGGAAACCGATCGCATTCTTCTCCTTTGATCTCCTTGTATCTAGGGTTTTACACTTTCTCGGTTTGATTCATCGGCGACGTTGCTGAATTTCTAGGGTTTCTTGGGCTTTGATTCCACAATTCATATCTTGTGCCTGAAGGAGAAGGTTAGTTAACTCGAAGATTTCTTGAATTTTGGGAGATTAGGAAGTCTTGATTTCATTGATAATACGTGTTGTTTAACATTGCCTTTTTGTGGCCAATTTTTGTCTTTAGTCGTTTCTTGTGTTACAACTCTCGCCGTCATCTTAGGTTCGGAAACAGCTTGTGTCTGCCCCGTAATTCTTAGTATCATGAACTTAGACTTGTGAGGTGCTCGTTCATGGAAATTTCCAAGTTTTAATCCATTTGGGCAGTTGTTGGAAGCAGTGGCAGAACTTTGCCTGATTTCAGGTTAGTGGGTTTCTGGTTTCAGGTTGAGTAGCATTTAGGGTGAAGGCAGCATGCTAGGCTCTGGCAATAACTTGACCCGAGGTGTAGATGTGCCACCGTTGCCTCAGTGTTTGCCGCTAGAACCAATTAGATTAGGTAATCAGAAATATACACGCTCGGGAGAGCTCAGAAGGGTTCTCGGAGTTTCTAGTATAACTTCATCGGAAGACAGCACTTTTGGATTTTCCTGTCCGAAATCTTCTCCTCCTGTAGTGACAGGGGAGCTCAAGCACTTCAAAGAAAGAATGCAGGATACTTCCAGAGAAGCCGGGTATGTCTTCTACGTTTTTCCTCCACAAACTGTACTCTGGAATAGAATGAACTGCTTTCCTTGATCTTTTCGTTTATTAATCTTTATTGAAAAAGTTGAAACATCACTTTTCTTGTAGGGACAGAGCAAAGAAACTAGGTGAATCCATATTCAAACTGGACAAGTATGCAGAAGTGTTAACTTCAAAGAAACGGCGGCGCAGTGATATATCACCTGGTGAGAGGATGGATGCAGTGAACATGGACAAGGTGAGAAGCCAGATACCAGATGAAAGAAAAAAGATGTTTGGGTTGGACAAGCGGGCTCGTACGTCAGTGGTAGATGTGCGGGTTTGTATCTAAATTCCGCTATTGATCTATAAGTTGCTTTTACATGCCTATGGTGTATGTTTATGTATCTTCTCTGCCTTTTATTATGTTTTGTTTATCTTCACTATATGTGTTGCGATTTTTCAAAAATGTTTCTGTGAGATATGACATCTGAGTCTGGAAGCCTTTGTGTTATTTTTCAATAAGGTTTATTCTAGTTGTTCAATATATGTTCCCAAAAGTCTTTTTGGCATTGGGCATCCTCCAATGGTGACAGGGATGAAGGAGGAGTATCTGACATGTTGTGTTGTTTAATTGTTTTTCTGTTAGGGCGATGGTAGGGTTTCTGCTCTTCTAAGACAGCAGGTAACAGAGAAGGATTCTGATTCTCTTCCAGGCATCCCTGGAGAGACCATGCGAATTGAAGAGAAGATACGAAGATTGGAGGCAAAAACGAAAAGGAAACGATCTGTTGCTGCTCTAGGTAACCGAGTTATAAATAGTGATCGACGTGGCATGCAGCCAAAGCTGATAGCTGACTCCAAGTTGCGTTCCTGTGACACCCAAAATTACAGGTATGTTTGAAATATATGCGATATAATGGACCTGATGGTTTCTCCTGGGGATAGCTTAAGAGGCGCCTAGAGATAACCCATCATAGCATGTAATTGCAATCTTTTTGTCCAAGGCTCATAGTCTTGTTTATCGAATCTGTAGAATAATAGAATTACATGATATCCCAGTGGTTGAGTTTATTATTAGGACTAATTGATTCATGATATTCCACATGTTCTCAATATTCTTACTTTCCAATGGTTCCCTAAGTTATGCCCAAGGATTATCTATTTGCTTGGTTAAATGAACCTACTCTGAATTTTATTAGTATCTCCTCCTTTACCAATTTCAGTATGTCACTTGTAATGTGGATTTCTTTGTAGGATGCTGCTATATATTTAGTCAGCCCATTTATCAGCTGCATATCTTTATTTCTAAATTGAAGCATATTGTGTCTCATCTGCTGCAGGTCCAAATCTTCTGCGGCGAGTGGAATTAACAGACTAGATGCTTTTTCCAGGAACGAGTTAGAGTCTGTTTCATTTGCAAGGGATCGTTCAGCGCTTGTTGAGCAGAGGATTATGGCCAAGGGAAACAGCAAGTGTGTAAACACATCGAGCTTCAATTCTGTTATGGGTGTAGCTTGTATGTTACGGCAAGTTTGATTATGTGACTGATATATGCATGTTTATATATATCCAGGAAAAATTTGAAGGACAATAACCTGGCAAACAGTTCTAGTGCAGCGTTGAAAGGAAAAGTTTCTAGAGCTCCAGGAACTGGTGCCATTATGACTGCAGAACCTTCATCCAGAGTTGAGACCCCTTCCAGAGCTCTACAAGGTTTGGAGCAATATGAAGGTATTAATAAAGTATCATTAATGGTTCTTGGAAATAATCAAAAGCTTCAAATGTCAGCAGGTTCATCTCCACATGCAATGACTCAATGGGTTGGCCAAAGACCGCATAAAAATTCTCGTACAAGGAGAACAAATGTAGTTTCTCCTTTCATGAAGCACACTGAAAACAAAACCTCTTCTCAAGGCTTTGCAACATCTGATTTCAGTTCAAGAGCTTTCCCTGGAACCACCGGGTCATTCTCAGCTGTTGATAATACATCTTTAAAGGTAAAGAGGGTGCGGAAGAATACTTCATCACCATGCAGGTTATCGGAAAGTGAGGGCTCGGAAGGTGGAGATAACAAACCAAGAGAACATGATCTAGAGAATGGTGAAGTGACCACAACTCGGAAAACAGGGGCACTGTTACTTTCTATAAGAAAGAATAAGATCTATTCTGGTCATAACGGAGATTGTACATGGAAGCAAGGAAAAGGTGGAAACAGTTCCTCATTGATAACTCCTGGTTTTCATCCTATCACGGTTAAGACGGAGAATCGACCAAGGGAAAAGCCTATTCAAAACTCAAAAATTGCTGCAGATAAAAATAAAAGGTGAATTTTATGCAAATTGTGCTTTTCGTTTTTCTCTTTTACCAGTTTACCTTGAAATCTATTCTGTATTTTTTCCCTAAAATATCAAATACTATTGGGTTTTTTTGTGTGTGTGTGCGGCCACATCATAAATTAATGGTCTGCTTTCTCTATGATCAGCAAATCTGGGCGTCCACCCACCAGAAAGCTTAAAGACCGTAAAGCTTCCACACGTCTTGGCTCAAATGCAATTACTGTTTCATCAGATGCCGCAGGTATTTCTTGAACATTTTCTGTCTTTATTTTGAATTTTTGAATTATAGGCTTTTATCTGAATTGCTTGTTTCTAAATTGTATTATTGGTCTTTTGCTGGAAGTGTTACTTATTTCTTCAATATCTGAAGTTATGATATTGATGTCTGAATGAAATATAATTTCTTGTCTGAGTGAATGAAGATAATGACACAATGTTGTTGTTGGGGTGTAATCTCTGCTTCTTACATCTTTGGATATCGTTTGAGCGGTATGACACCAAAAAGGGCAATCTCATGCTTCTGATGGTGCCATTTTTACCACTGGAGTACTCAAGGAGGTTTGGCTTTTCAGGTGAATCTGATGATGACTGTGAAGATCTTTTTGCAGCTGCCAACTCGGCACGGAATGCAGCTAGTTTGTATCCTCGGTCTTTCTGCCTTTGTTTTCTTATAAATTTACGGCCATAGACTACTTGCTGAACTGCAATTTGTCTTTATACAGATCATGCTTGTTCTGGTGAATTTTGGAAAAAAATGGAATACATCTTTGCTCCTGTCAGCCCAGATGACATGCAATACATGAAGGATCAGGTATAACCAAGATACTGTAATATACATGGCATGTTCTCTTTGGGATGCCTGATCAAACTCATAATCTCTTACCCTTGTTTTTCATGATTAGCTGAGTTTTGTGGAAGAACTTGGTGAATCCCTTAGGGAGGCAACCACAAATGTGTATAATATCATGGTAAATTTCATTACACGCTCATTTTCAGCATTTTTTTTCTTTTCACTCCTGGGAGTGACAGCAATTAAAGAGAGAGCCTGCTCTCTGTCTCAGGGTATCCTAATGCGGAAAGCTCCTCAGGGTCCCGGTGATGATACTGCCGATTTCTCAAATCAACCCTCATCTATTTCTGATCTTTCATTTGAAAGAATGGACATGAGAAAGCTGAATGAGAGTACATTGTACAAGAGGGCGCTTTCTGCTTTAATCGAAGAAGATAATGGCGAGGAAGTCGTAGAGGTTGGTGAAGTGAAAAATCTGTCTCTTCATTATGTGAGTGATGATTATCACTGCGGTTCATGTACCCATATCGACACCGAGACCAGAGAAAGAGACAGAACGGAATCTGAAGTGGAGTCAAGTGCAGAATTTCAAACCCTGAAGGATTGTTTGTTTGACAGGTTTTCTAGAGATATGAGCGTCATGTCCAACTCTTTTAGAAGCGTAAGCGTGCCGATTCCTGATCGTAGCAATAAACAGTGGCTGGGAGATGATGATTTATCGCATTCTAAAGTTGCACTCGGCGGTAAGATATGTTCAAACAATCCGAGTCAGCTACAACCAAGGGAAATGATCGTTCCCGACTTCCCATCAACTGAAACCCAGTATCAGTTGTTGTCTTTGGATGATCGACTTCTTCTGGAACTACATAGCATCGGTATATATCCCGAGGAATTGGTAATTTTGGCTAAACTCTAGCTTTTTTCCATTGTTTCTTTAGTGATATATGAGCTTACAGAGAAATAATAGACGCTGAGTGGAAAACTGTGAAACAAAGTAACAAATATGATAATCACCTTTTGTCTCGCTCAACTTTTTTCTCATGTTTCCATTGTTTATCGTCTCATGCTTCCATTTGTTTGTGACAGCCTGATCTAGCAGAAGAAACTATCAGTACAGATGTTCTGAAATTGAAGGAAGACGTTTATCAGCAGGTGGATAACCAAAGACGATTTTCATACTCTATTTCAAATGCATTAGCATTACCAAGAAGCATAGCGTTTTTCACAGATTTTGTTATCATGTTTTCATCTCGGAATTTGTCTGCTCCTTTTGTCTTTCTTTGGTCAATAGATTCAAAACATGAAGAAGTTGTTGGGGAAGATAAATATGACAATACAAAAGAGCGAAGATGGGGAGAGAAGGTGGGGTTTAGTTGTAGTTAAGATTCGTTAATGCGCGAATGAAACCTGTTATCGATTTTTTTTTTTGTACTGAGTATACTGTCAATGTGCAGGAAAATCGAGTATCTTGCAATGGACCAGCTTGTGGAAATGGCTCACAGGAAAAGAGTGGTAATAATGTCTGAGGGACTTGACGGAATTCAAGCTCGAAAACAATTCGACTTTGATATTATTTTATGGGTTTTTTGATAACGGGTTATGTCAAATATGAACAGGCAAGCCGGGGTAGTAAAGCATCGAAAGAGTGCAAGGTTTCGAGACAAGTGGCAATGGCATTCATCAAGCGGACTGTTGCTCGATGCCGGAAGTTGGAAGAGACTGGTCGTAGCTGCTTTGCCGATCCTGCTCTTCAGGACGTCTTGTTTTCTTCTCCCGGGAACAATACGAAATCTTCAGAAAAAGGCGGCTTCGGAACCGGAACAGCCAGAAACAGTCCCAACGAAACTTCTAATCATCAGGTTGAAGCAAGAGGATCTGGTAATGCAAATCTTCTAATCATTTTTTTCTCTTGTAGATCGTATGGTTAGATAGTTTAAAGAGTAGGATGAGATAGGAAAAAGAACAGAGCTGTGAGGGTAAAAACTATCAAAGATTTTCGTAAAAAAATGGGCTTCAGAATTAGCCATCCAAAGGCCATATAGTATAAAGAGTAGGATGCGCATTGTTGAAACATTTACACCTAAACCCGAAACCCCAAACGCTAAACCCGTCAGTTTTACAGGAGCAGTGTCTAGTAGTACAAAGAGGGGAGAGGCACTTATGGACAAAGCCACGGCAACGAGCCCGGACAGCGGTGGTCACGGGAACGGGAGGAAGGCCAAGCCGAGGCAAGAGAACAGCAACCAGCCGACAGGTCCAGCGAGCTCAAACCCCGAGGAAGAGGCGCTTGAGGAAATGGCGTTGAAGGAGTTGGGTTCGCTAGAAGAGTCGGGGGACATGGGGAACTGGTTCGATGGGTTGCAGGATATCCACACCGTTGGCCTTGAAATCCCCATGGATGACCTCTCCGATGTCAACCTCCTCCTCTAGTTAGCCTCTCTCCCACCCCCACCCCACCCCCGTTTCATCAAACCTCCATTTTTCTCACCTATTTTTTTATTTTTATTTTTATTTTTTGTTTAAATAAGAGTTTATTCGTTAGTTTCATTATTTACCCTCAGAGGAGGTGATTGATTCTTCAGTCTATATATATATATATATATATATATGTTTCATGTTTAAGAATCAATGTGAAATTGCATTGCATGTGTCTTCATGTAATGTCAAAACGGAGATAGAAATAGCCATTTCTTGAGGAAGGAAAACAATCGTGTTAGATGTTTGAATTTGGGGTTTTCTCCTTCCATTGTGGGTCGTGCAGTAAGCTCCAGAGTGATGCAGTGAGGGAGGCGGTACCTGCAGTTCAAACTTATTGCGAAGGGGACCAGACCTCGCAAATCCACCGAGACCGGCCTTAAGAACTACGACCGGCAGCAGAAGGACGAACGTTTCAGCGGCTCGGTCAAGTTGCCTTGCCTCACATTCCCCGGCCGAAGACGAAGATATGTATGCTTGGAGAGATGCCCAGCATGTGGAAGAGGTTATATATTGTTCAAAGACATTGTACTTCCACTTCTTTGATCATTCTTGCCAATGATTCAATGAGTAATGTGCCGTGAATTGGTAATGTCGTGTTGTAAGCGTGTTCCATCTTTCTCGACCAATCTTAACGCGGAAATTACATTTCCGGGCTCCATTTTTTCCCGATAATTCTTAATGTGAGCATCTGGATTGATGCATCATTCTGGGTTTGATTCATCTTTTTGATGCAGGTGAGGTGCTTGTACTTGAAGAGCACCAATGGCTCCACCAAACCCTATCTTTTGAGTTCTTGGAGCTTTTGTGTTATTATACATCACAGGTAATATGAATCAAAGAAAATGAAAGCATGAATTATTATTTTTTTTTTGTATATGATCATCCATTTAATTATCATGACCCAATTAATTTCAGAACCAGTGTTCCCAGATCATCTTCTAAACTTCTTTAAAAGAAATATATGAAATGAAGCACGTGTTTTAATACGGTAACTTGCAATGAAGTGGCACAGAGCAATGTAATGTGTGTGTGTATATATATATATATATATCTGTAAGGAAGAAAAAAGAATGATAAATTTCAAGCGGCATTATCATATAGAATCGAAATGAAATGTGAGAAATTTGATTTTCCTGTTCTATTACAAAATAAGGTACAAAACCGGCTGTAATCTCTCGAAGCAAACGAATTAATCATAAATATTTGATGTATTATAGAATAGTGTAGGTCTCGAGTGGACCGATGGACCAGCCATTCCAAACCTTCAGCACATAGTCTGATAGTCACATGACAAAAGCATATCTTATAGGAGAATATATATATATATATATATATATATATATATATATATCGATGGCGACATCATCGACACGTAGCTTTCTCTTGTGGGTCTCCGCAATATATTGGCACGTAGATTTCGTTAAATTAAATCTATAATTATGAAAAAAAACAATAAAACTCCAAAAAGCTTTACATCCTCCAGCCCAAAAGTTGTAACGAATCAATTCTCTAGAAAATAAAATATAAAAAATACATAAATTCCTAAAAGTTTCAAAATAAAAATGACTGAAATTCAAAAACATAATTGGTCAAGCGAGTAAATTGGTTCATATAAGTGGGCATGCCATACGAAATAAACGTCACATACTTCTTTTGGACCAAAATACAAATAAAGACCGGAATCATAGTGGTCTTATTTCGAGTTTAAATACATCTGAATTTTTCCGATTTTTTAAAAGATATACTTATCAAATATTTGATTATAAAAAAAAATATAGTTTGCCATTACAAAAAAAAAAGACCGGAATCATAAAATAACAACAGTAACAATTAATAATATTCACACATTGCAATCTAAATTATAATCATAAATCATTAGCCGATTTTAATTCCCCAATTGGTCATGGTTATGTACAGTGCGTCTTGAAGAAGCTTAAAAAAATAATTCGAATATGCAAAGCAACAAACTATATTTTTTTTATAATCAAATATTTGATCCAACTATATCTTCTAAAAAAATCAAAAAAATCTAGATGTTAGATTTAAACTCGAAATAAGACCATATTTGACATATTCTGTGTACTATTCGTCACCTCAGATCTCGACTGAGCTCGTTGTGACAACCTAGGATACCGTAAGAATGCGGAGAGTGATCGCTGGTGCGAGAGGTATGGTCCGTATGGACAATGAGCGGTTCCTGGCGAGCTTCTGGGTAGGGGGTAACAGGGATGAATCAGACGCACCGGAATGAGAGGGATCCGAGGGTTGTGTAGGTATGAGACTACACAGTATAAGATAACTTAAAGGAATTAATTGAGTTACTCATAGCAACATGATGCATCTACCTTTTCGGTTTTTCATCTCGAGAGATCTCCAAAGTTAAGCGTACTGACCTTGGAGTAGTCTTAGGATGAGTGATTTCTTGGGAAGTACTTTTCGGAATGTGTGCGAGTGATGACAAAACACGCTAAAATATCTCGTGTTAGTGTGTGGAGACTGCTCTATCATTTCGTAGCGGATTCGGATCGTTACACTCGTCATCGATACGAGATCACGAATTCAATAACATGAACTATAAATCAAGCATAGAAAGAAAACACATACGAACGCAGAGATTTACGAATTCTCCGATCTCACAGCGTGAGATCGCGTACGTCTCGGCGGCTCTAATGAACCAGCAATCCACTAAATGAATGTATCAATTACAAGCTTCTGAGCGCAAAAGAATTAACCCAGAAAATTCAAGAGAAGAAAATGAACTTCTTCTTCCTCTTTCTGATAAATTCAGCTCTTATACACGAGCTTGTACGATTACCCATTTGCCCCCTTGCTCCAACGGGTTTAACCATTATTGCTGATTTGCAATTCTGCCCTTGCAAACCTTCGGTTCGGGCTAGAGTATTTCCCCGCTTTGGCAATTAGCAGAATTCAAACAAGTCCGAGCCACGGTTTTCACATTCTCTCACCGCTAAACCATTAAAACTTGGGTTCAACAATCTATAATGGATTCTCTCATCCTAGCCAATTTCTAATTTCAAATACCTAAACAAATATAATAATAAATTTAGATATTTCATACATACATACATTACATACATACATACATACAAGCTTTAATTACTTTAGTTTCTTTAAATTTGGATAAAACGCATCGTATGATGTATTCGAATGTATATAGAGAGAGGATATTAGTTTTTGTTTTATTAGTTCATATATAAAATTAATACCATTTTCAATAATTTTATATGAATTAATTTAAATAATTAAAGTTAATCTTAATCATATGCATAATCTATTACCGTTAATTAGATCCCCCGTGTATGTAAACACACAATTTCTATGTAACAATAAAGTAATTTCGGTTAAATGTTTTTTGAAAATTACATAGACGTGGTTGAATAAATCACGAGGCTCCCATGATTTGACCAATCACGTCGACACAACAAAATGCTAACGTGGTTTGTCACCATTGGGCATCACTTTTTTTTTTGGAGAATCGGAAATTTCTAAAAAAAAATCGATAGAATGACATTTTTAATAATAAAAATAAAAACAATTGACACCCATATACTAAAGAAAAATTTATTATGTCATGTTACATTTATTAATAATTTAATACTATACGGTGACGGTTCAAATTAAAAGCAACAGTAATATTCCTTAAATAAATACTATATATATACATATAAATTCAACTCACGAATTTTTTTAGTAGGGCCCAAATAATAAGAGCCACAGAAATTGGCAGCAGTGGACCGCCCCTTCTTGATTCCATTCCACTCGACTCATTTATTCAATTTTAATTCAATTACAGTGATATTAGTAGTTACTAATTAGGGTTCTGATATTTGCAATTTTGATTTGATTTTATGCCAGTGGACCAACATAAACCATTAGAAACTAATGTTCTACCATTGGATTCACATAAATTGTTATCACTGTTATTCTCCAATGTAGATAAAACCAAGAAAAAAAATCCAACATATTCTCTCTGATTTTAAAGATAGATTTCCATTTTCTTTTTCTGTCGGAACAAAATCCAGAGAGACTGGAATTCTAGCCTCTTGTCTCGTGTAGATAAACTCAGCATCTTCTCCTTCTTCATGCATCTCTCGTGCCCCCCCTCTCTCTCTCTCTCTAAGTAACAGGAACAGTGCAAATCCTCTGTGTTTTTTGGTTTCTCCTTCTTCTTCGTCTTCAATGGCGGCATTTGGAAGCTTGCGCCATATATTCGAAAACCCTAAACCAGAGAAACCTCCGAAGACCCTTTTGGAATCTCTCTCCTCGCAACCTACATGGAGCCACAAACCCACCTCCGAGGATGAGACGCCGTCGTTTACTGAGATATTCGGGGAGCTCCACTTCACGGACAAATCCCACCATGTTAATTTTCTCGATAATCACGACAACGTCGCCCCTCCGTACGCAAGCTCTTCTTCTTCCTCTTCCTCCGCGCTGCAGCTATGTACGGAGGGACTGGGGTCGGAGAGCTCGTACGACGTGGAAGACGATACCGTGAAGGTCAACGAAGAAGTCAACGCAGGAGAGGTTGAAGAGAGGGGCATTGAGAGAGAGAGGGGGAGGAAGAAGAAGAAGAGGGAGTACCCGCCGGCGATGAAGAGGCTGAGTTTGAAGGGTCATAGAGAGGAAGGGAGGTTTGTGTTGGAAGAGGTGAGGATCCCGAGGAGAGAGATTCTCCGTGCGAGTCGTGAAGACGGGAGGCTGACGATGAAACTCGTTCAGACCGAAGACGAAATACATGATTGAGTTGTAATAAGCCTTTTTTTTTCCCTTCATCTAATTATCGTTTTTGGTCCAAAATTTGTGCCGTTGTTTTGCAATAAGTTTCGTCTAGAATATGAAAATTTTGGCTGACGCCCTCCTTCACCACGATCCAAACCATACAAAATAGAGACCTCTCCCTCACCCTCGTCTCCCCTCCTTTATGGTTTGGATACTCACAAAACACGGATAATCTCCGACCAAAATCCGAACTCGAACTTGTATTCATTCCAATCGGCAGATGAATACCCGAAATTTCAGGTTTCTAATTTTCGGGTGCTGAAATAGCGAAGGGTAGGGATGTCAAAACGAGCCGAGCTCACGAGCCGGTTCGAGGTTGACTCATTTTTTATCGAGTCGAACCAAGAATATCTGAACCCAAATAAAAATGGGCTGAGTGAGCCAGCTCGCCACGAAACGAGCCCAAACGAACTAGTTCGGCTGGTTCGCATCTGGCTCAGGAGCCGGAGTAAAAAAAAGTTGAAACTTGAAAGTATTGATATTGTTGGTATGATATTTTGATTTGGAGACAATTTTTTATGTATGGATTCGGATCTGAAGATGGTTTTTTGTATATAGATTATGATCTGATTGTACATAGATGAATTATGATCTAAAAATGGTTTTTTGTACATGGATGGATTGTGATTTTATTTATTTGAAGATGATTTTTTGTATATGGATTGTGATTGTGAATATAAGTATGATTTGGATGTATTGGTATATTCTTTTTATGTTGATGTATCATTTGGATACGATTTTATATAATTTGATATGATTTTTTTAGGTATTTAGAAAAATATGAATCGGTTCGGGAACCGACTTACGAGCTAAGCGACTTGGGTTGAGCCAGAAATTTTCTAGCCCAAATAAAAACGGGCTTAACGAGTTGGGCTGAAAATGAGTTGGCTCGAAATGAAAATGAATTGGCTCGAAACGAGTTGGTCCGAGCTGGCTCGTTTGAAGGGTTAGACGCAAGAATCAATGTTAAATGGCATCTCTCTTGTGTTTTAAAAAGTTTAATGTGCGTAAAAGGTTCGGCCCACTCCAAACCCATTGATGTCTAAACCAGGGAGTGAAGATACTCTTCTCATATTTTGGTAAGTTGGTAACCATACTTCTGTTCTAATTTATCAGAAGAACCAACGTATCAACAACAGAGAAATGACATTCATGTGTTCCAATATATATATATATATATATATATATATATAGATTCTAGATATTAAATCTTATTTGGATCGTATATAAATCTTTCCATATGAACGTGTAATAACGTATAGGACAAAAAAAAATTTGTTTTACCACACCTACAAGCATTGATGCATATGTAATCAAAGGAGCACCGATAAAATAGTTATTTAAAAAAAAATCATACATTTTGATGGTAATTTGTTTGGTGTTCATAATAAAAAAAGCTGTTAATTATTTTAATATTGGTATCCACTAAATAAAATTTCTACATACGTCCATGATGACGGAAGATTTATACACAGATACATATATATAAGACAACCAAAACAAAATTACTGTGAAAAGTCAAGGGTTTTTACAAAATTATTTTTTTAGTGAATAAAATAAATAATTAATTGATTAGAATTCAACAATAACAGAACATTAACAACTCACAAAAACAAGAAGAAAAAAAATATTTTTACATTGAAACTAGACATCAGACAAAGGCTTGACTCGTTCAAAGAGGCATTGGGACATAAGATTGGGGCCTGACTCAGAGACACGAAAGCGATAAAAAAACGCGTAGGATCATTTCGGACCAATCACCAGACATCGAAATCCCACCCAAGAACTTTTCTCATTTCACTCGGAGAAACCAATCTCTACTTCACAAGTCATATAAATATCAATTCATCGGCATTTTCAATTCACCAAAACGCAAATGTATAATAACAAACCAAACGTACCGAATTGAGGAAGGGCTCCCCGGGGAAAAGAAAATGGATGAGCTTCTTGTCGGGTTCCGGTTTTACCCCACGGAGGACGAGCTCATCTCGTTCTACCTGCGAAACAAGCTAGAGGGACGGGTAATACCCGGCATGGCTCGTGTCATACCTGTCGTTGACGTGTTCGCAGTCGAGCCTAATCACCTTCCACGTATGCTTACCACATCTTTTTACCCGTCACTAAATTGTCAAAAATGTATTGTAAAACTGTTGGTCATGAAACAGTTTTCGGGTAGAGTTTGTATTGTGCGCTATTGATCTCATTAGGGTGTATGTGCTATTGAAAGAAAGATAGTTGCTCAGTTTTGAGATTGCTTGTGTATAAAGATGATCAGCTAATGACCTGAAAACTTTGACAGTAACTTAGTGATATTATCTAATATATATAAGACTTACTGGAATGGTTGGGCTCTCCTTCGTGGTGTTTTTTGGCAGAGCTTGCGGGAGAGAGGTGCCGAGGAGACACAGAGCAGTGGTTTTTCTTTGTACCAAGACAAGAGAGGGAAGCACGAGGAGGAAGACCGAGCAGAACTACAGCTTCAGGATACTGGAAAGCAACTGGGTCACCTGGGCCAGTGTTCTCGGCCGATAACCGAGTGATTGGGGTCAAGAAGACGATGGTCTTCTACATCGGAAAAGCACCTACAGGGAGAAAAACAAGATGGAAGATGAATGAGTACAAAGCAATTGATGGGACAGCCAACATGTCCCCAATCCCTCAGGTGCATAAGTAGCGTTAAATATGAGGTGTCTTCACTTTTGTAACATTTGACAAGTCATCAGCTAAGCAAAAAAGTATTAAAGTATTCGAGTTTCCTAATCAAGTTTTCATGGGCTTGTTGCTTCTTGAATATAGTTGAGACACGAGTTCAGTCTATGCCGTCTCTACATAACCTCAGGAAGCTCCCGTGCGTTTGATAGGCGTCCCATGAAAGCCTATCAAATAGAAGGAATGCTTCCACGCAACGGGGCTGGACCATCATCTCAGGTCAGGACGATGGCCGGGAGAGCGAGTTCATCAGAAACTTCATACTCTAGAGGAGATCATGCTGATCTCCCAGTGAATACTGCACAAACCAGCCCGGAGATGGTTGATGGTCTAACAAAACCATTCTGGGAATGGGAAAAGCTGAATTGGGCTTGACCCGACCCGAGATTCTAGGCAGTTTTTCTTGTTAGTTCAGCAAGATCAAAATCAGATGAATGTAGTCCTTAGCATAATTCTTTTACTCCTTGTAAGGTCAATGGTTAATAATCAAGAATAAACACCAAAGGGCATGTTATGACAAAATTTACCTCAAATTACCAAAACACAAGGACTAAAGAAAGAGAAAAGGAAACAAAAGGCAAATGGGGTTCGATATGTGCAGGAAATTGACTTGCTGATTTAAGTTTTACATGATCAAGAAAGTTGGAAAGCGATCCCCTTGGGACTTGCTTCAATACCAACCACTGGAAATGCTCGCACAAAGTGAACCATTGGTCCAAATCACCCAAAAAGGCATACCTCGTCCCCTTGCCGAATGAGGGCCAACAGAAGAATCATTGGTCAATGCTCCCCTTATGGATCAACTACGTGATCAAGAAAGTTGCCTTTATATTTCATGAAGTATCATGTTCTTCACTCTTTACACTAAATACCGCTAAAGCTCCTCATTCGAGTTGTAGGATTCTCACAATTCTAATCACCTGCAAATTTCAAGGCCTTGGAAGAAACTCGATTCTTCCCAAACGTAAGGCCGTTCACATGATACTTCCTCTTTTGTACTATCCGCGTCCAAAATTCTGACTCTACACAGCAGAATTCCTGAATTCAACGACCTCAAGTCTCTATAAACTTGAAATTTTCGGAATCCCTCATTCGTTCTCTTCGATATGAATAAAAAAATATAAGCGAAATCACTCCTAGAGGTCATCGAATCCCACAAAACTCATGAATACAAAAAAAAAACAGAAAACCGGAAACTAGATTCAAGTCCATCAGGAAAATCTTCACGATTCATGTGATAAATCTGTGACTCGAATCGCTGAAACACAAAAAAAAATCCGCATTCTATGGCTCAAGCGTACCTGGGAGCTTGAACGCGACGTCGAATCATCGAAGAGCTACGTATTTAAGATGGTCGAGTTACAGAGAATGGGAAGAAGAACAGAGGAATTTCATGATATCTGAAGAAGAAGAGCAGATTCTCAGGTCTCTGATCGGGGGAGCAATGAAAGCAAACTCGCAGAAACAAGGAAAAGATGGATGCGGGAGGAAGAAGAAACATGGATTCCATGTTCGATTCGGTGTATTTCTCGTAGGATTTTACAGTTCCGTATTTCGGGGGAATAAAGACCCTGTATTTTACTTAATTTGTAAATTCACCTCTAAATGTTTTTTTGTTCAAATTACACCCCTATGATATTTTTTCAAATAAAAAGGAAATTCTAAAAATGATAAGAAAATTGTCAATGTTTGAGAAATATGACATATACCCACATATTTCTAGAACTTATCTATTAGTAGCTATCCATATATATTTCAAAAAGTTTATTGTTTTTGAAATAAATATGTTATACATTTGATTTCAAAACTTATAATTTTATTTAAAATTTGACAAATTTTTAGTTAATTCAAATAACATTTACATGTATTTTAAACTTAATTTGAATTAAAAGTTTACAAAAATTGGAAGAAGTTATATATACAAATGCCTGAATCTAGAGATTATAATCACACATATAAAAAAAACAAGATGGGTTAATTTCATTTCAATTTCCATGTATTAAAAATTGAAAATTTATTGGAGTATTAATTCCCTTGTACTCTTAAACTTAATCTTCACATGTATCTAATTTCTGTTATATATGATCTGTATGGTCATTGGTAAATATTCTGATTCGATTAGAAAGGAAAATATATGGGTTAAATTGACCAGGTAAATAGTATGGGAATAATTGGTAATGATCATAAGAATATTAGGGTTCCTGAACTTCGCGTGTGTATATACAATACAATATTATCTCGCTGTCCCCAAAAGAAAAAAACTTTAGATGTATACTTCTACCGAATCGCAGCGAAGTCGACTTTGAAGCTCTCGTGATCCTCACTATCTGCCTCGAATCTGCGATCTCGAGACGGCGGAGGAAAATCTCCTATGGCGATTCTCTACGCGGTTGTGGCGAGGGGCATGGTGGTTCTGGCGGAGTTCTCCGCGGTGACGGGTAACACCGGCGCCGTCGTGCGGCGGATCCTCGAGAAGCTTCCGACGGAAACTTCCGATTCCAGGTTTTGTTTCTCTCAGGATCGTTACATCTTCCATATTCTCAGATCCGATGGCCTCACCTTCCTTTGTATGGCCAACGACACCTTTGGAAGTAAGCCCTGTTTATCTCTCTCTCTCTCTCTCTCTCTCTCTCTGTCTTCTACGGATCATAATTTCTCGGAAGATTCCTTTTTTTCTGTCTAATGGAGATCGATGTGGATGAATTTCGTCAAAAGTTTGTGGTTTTTGGGGATTTCTGATTCTCCATTGATGGATATGGATTTTAAAAAATGAGCGTTTTTTTTTTGGTAATCTTAGCTCAAACCGTGCCACAGATGAATTCTCTATCTATTTTGTGAATCTGATTCAAATTGGGTTTCTCTATGCCGTGTGAATCTGTTTGTGTTCTTCCTCCTAGGTTTCTTATGTTTGCAGTTGTTGATTGAATTGTAGGGAGGATTCCTTTTTCGTATCTGGAGGATATTCATATGAGGTTCATGAAAAACTATGGAAAAGTGGCCCATTATGTTCCGGCTTATGCAATGAATGATGAATTTTCGAGGGTTTTGCATCAGCAGATGGAGTTCTTCTCTAGTAATCCTAATGCAGATACCCTCAACCGTGTTAGAGGAGAAGTCAATGAGGTAAAAAAAAACGTTTCCTTTAAAATGTTCTCCATCCATTGTAATTGAAAAGGTAAATGTGTTCATCGGGTTGTAGAGATTAGAAGGAGTCTGGTATGAGGGAATTACGGTTTCTGGCAGAGAGGTGCTTATGAATAAAACATGTCATCTTGGTGGTTAACATCTGGTTCATCGGTTACCAAATGCGTGAAATCAAAGATGGTGCATACATTCGTCCATTCACAGTATATTGTTCTCGGGGTTCAATGTGTGAAAGTTTTCATAGTGTAGTTAACATGCCTCTGTTAATGTGGTTTCCTGCTAGGTAGTGATGCTTCTTTGGATTTTTTTCCCTAGAAAAAGAAGTGTTCTCTCATTGTATTCATGGTGTGTATGCAGATACGTTCTGTCATGGTAGAGAACATTGAGAAAATACTGGAGAGGGGTGATAAGATTGAGCTTCTTGTTGACAAGACAGCAACTATGCAAGATAGTGCGTTTCACTTCAGGAAACAATCAAAGCGCCTCCGTCGAGCCCTTTGGATGAAAAATGCTAAACTCTTGTAAGGACCTAACGCTTACATAAATCTGCGATTAACTGTTTTTCTCTTGATTCTGGGAAATCCATTCCTAGATTCTGTTAGTTTCTGCTTGCCATTGTAGTATATGCGCTGATTAGCAACCCCTTTTAAAAAAGACGAATCTTGAAAAGAAAATAGATTTAAAAAGCATGAAACGACTTATAGTGTATAATGCCCAGGTCGAATTAGATGAGATATTGAGATTCCTTTTAGATATCATCTCATAGAACGGCCGAGATATGGTTATTCGAGCAAGGGTATCCCGGTATCAAGTGGTATAATTTGATGGGTTGCGTTTGTTTTCACTATGACATCAATAAATTATGAATCTTTTTTTACCTCTCTCGGGTTTTTAATCGAAGAGCTTCTCTGTTTTGTGTATGTTACAGGGCGTTACTGACGTGTCTGATCGTTCTCCTGCTCTACTTTCTGATCGCTGCTTTCTGCGGAGGCATCAGTTTACCGTCTTGCAGATCTTGAAACTCGAAGGCCCTTCTTTAGCTTCAGTAGTGATTCTTCCACTCGCTCAAGGTATATGAATTTCCAGTATGGTTTTGTTCAAAAGCTTTATGGTTTCTTTGGAAACTTTTGAAAGCTATATATACCTAAAAAAAAAAGGCAGAGGACCTGTCTTTTTTTACAACGCCTTAGATGATGCATCAATGGTGTGAATTGCAGTCGTGTATCTATTGTAAATGCTCTGCGTTTTTCTTTTTTTTAATTATAAAACGATCAAATGTCACAATCTATCTTCGCATCTGTAATATCAGTAAGCATAATTAGCTTTGTCTTTTATATATAATGTGTAGTCATCTCGCTTGGAGGATTTGTTCTCTGGTGAGTCGGCAAAATATCATAATCTCTCGCCCTCTCTTGTAGATTTTTGAAACCTAGGAATTTCGGAATTTTGAATCTAAATTCTAAATCTTTCGGACTCAAAAATCGGATATTCTCAAATTCTCTGTTTCGAATCATCAACGAGAGTGTTACAAAAAAAATTATCATAAAACAAGAGAGAGAGAGAGAGAGCGCGCTATATAGCTTTGTAAAAAGAGAGAGAACCCGTTTTGAGAAATTACCGTTCATCGGCCGTCATTTTCACTTTGCGTCTGTCATTGCGAAAACCCATCTCAAAAGATTTGATTTTGGAAAGTTGCCCCTCATCCCGTGGCCCAAACCCTCCAGTAGAACTAGACCGATCGTACGTCGCAAGTAACAAGAGAGGCAGAGAGAGTTTAGCTCAGAGCCCTCCCCCGCCGGAGCACCTGTAAGAACTCGCTGGAGAAGACGACAAAGCCCTAGACATCGCCGCCGTGAGAGTTACAGCGACCTCAAAAGGGCTTAGGAGATGGAGAAAGTGAAGATAGAAGAGATTCAGTCCACCGCTAAGAAGCAGCGGATCGCCACTCACACCCATATCAAAGGCCTTGGTCTCGAGGTTCTCTTTCTCCTCCTCCTTTAAGTGGGTTTGCGAATTGCTTGCTTTTCTCTGCCTGTTGGCATGGGTTTAGGGTTTAAGCTGTTGGATTTAGGGTTTTAGCCATTTGAAAGTTTGCTTCTTTTCTTCCGGCCTTTGTTCCTTGTACGACCATCTACCGCAATTTTCGTCCACAAAGCTTTTGGCTTTCTTCGCTTTTGACCCGTAAGACTTGCGTTGTGCTGTTCCAGATTCCATCTTGATGGTGTGGTTCCTTTAGTTTTACTCGCAAAATTTAATTGAAGGGTCTCAAAAGCTTAGCTTGGGCAGTAAAATTTGCTTCTAATAGCCCTTATGCAGCATCTTAGCATATTATTCTTGATTCTCACATTGGCTTGTCATCCGAGCCAATTCTGGTACAGGGCGATTGGGGTTTGTATTTTCTCTTAGGTACTTATCTATAGACAAGAAAGTTGCTTTCCGATACATGATGAAATAGTTGTTCAGTAGTCGCTTGTGTTCCTTAGTAGAAGAGGATTTTTAAATACCCTTCTGTGTTAGCATACGTCTTTGGCAGAATTTGTGTTGCATGTGACCGAAATATCCATCCTTTTCTTTTTATTTTGCTTGATCATCAGGAATTCTGAGAATATACTGCTCCAAATACATGTGGTTACTGTAACATAAATTATCAAGTGATTTTTGGTGGTGGTTTCTTATGCACTAGTGGTATCTCTTTGTTTAACTCGTAATGTCTAGTTCATTGCTGATCTTCTTGTCTCTTTGTCTAGCCCACTGGAATTCCCATTCCTTTGGCTGCTGGATTTGTGGGTCAGCTGGAGGCTAGAGAAGCAGCTGGTCTCGTAGTGGACATGATAAAGCAGAAGAAAATGGCGGGCAAGGCTCTCTTGCTCGCTGGACCACCTGGTACCGGCAAAACAGCTTTGGCTCTTGGGATATCACAAGAGCTGGGAAGCAAAGTAATCTTGGGTCTCTTCATTTTGCTTCTTTCTCTATTTCTTTTATCTGCATAGTGTTTCAGATGTTGAATTTTGCTAGCAGCTTATGCCATATGTGTTGTTCTTTGTTTTGTAGGTTCCCTTTTGCCCTATGGTGGGGTCTGAGGTTTACTCGTCAGAGGTAAAGAAAACTGAAGTTCTGATGGAGAATTTCAGACGAGCCATTGGCCTACGTATCAAGGAAACTAAAGAAGTCTATGAAGGGGAGGTGAGATGCTATTTGCAGTTTCTTTTAGTGTTGCGTTCATATGCTATATTCTGTGTTAGCGCCGTCTCCGCAATAATATTCTTAGCATTTTTGCCTGTCTCCTTCCAGGTCACCGAGCTCTCCCCAGAAGAAACCGAGAGTGCTACAGGGGGCTACGGTAAAAGCATCAGTCATGTTATAATTGGGCTGAAGACAGTCAAAGGAACCAAACAATTGAAGTTGGATCCCACTATATATGATGCCTTGATCAAGGAAAAGGTAAGTTCTTTGACTTTTGTTACTCTTCCATGTTGTTTTCTGATGTGATATTCTTTCCTAAGTTTATACTTCTGAGTTTTTCCTTAGTTGGGCTCTCTATTTGAGATGTTGATGATCATGTTACATTATTGTTGGTTCTATTTTACTCTGGCACCGGTTCTTAGAAAACATGCTGGCTTGCCTGCATCAGTTATTGATTTCCTGTCTTATACTTCAGGTAGCTGTTGGAGATGTTATATACATTGAAGCGAATAGTGGAGCAGTCAAACGGGTTGGGAGAAGTGATGCTTTTGCCACTGAATTTGACCTAGAGGCAGAAGAGTATGTTCCACTTCCTAAAGGAGAGGTTCACAAGAAAAAGGAGATAGTGCAGGTCTACTTCAACAAACTTTGCCTATCCATGATATCTCCCTTCTCTTTGTTATGACTTGTCATTCAGCTATGTTACATCATAACGGCATTGAATTTGTTATGGCTTGCCATTTAGCTAGGATGTGTGATTGATTCGGTGGAAGAAAATCTTCCTTAAATCTTGTTCCAGCCTCTGACATCTGCTTCACTATAATTAGGATGTCACACTCCATGATCTGGATGCAGCAAATGCTCGACCTCAGGGAGGTCAAGACATACTTTCTCTGATGGGTCAAATGATGAAACCCCGGAAAACAGAGATCACCGATAAGCTTCGTCAAGAAATTAATAAGGTACTCTTCATTTTGAAAGACTTCTCTTCACATCTTGGTGTTTTGTTGTAAGTCAATTTCATAACACACGCATCTTGACTTGCAGGTTGTGAACCGTTATATCGATGAAGGTGTAGCAGAGCTTGTCCCTGGAGTTCTATTTATTGATGAGGTATTTACCTAACAAGTTTTTCTTTTTTCCGCGTTATTATTCTTGCTTGAGTTGATAGCAATAGAAATTCTCTTTGTCACATCAAATTTCAGGTGCATATGCTCGATATGGAGTGCTTTTCATACTTGAACCGTGCTTTGGAGAGCTCGTTGTCTCCAATTGTGATATTTGCAACAAATAGAGGAGTATGCAACGTAAGGTGAGTGAAATCTCGCTTCTTGGTAGATTATAGTTTTTCATCTGTAATCTTGGTATCTGTACACTGTAAAGACTTAGAACCCATTTTACATCATGTTGTTATATTTGCAGAGGGACTGATATGAACAGTCCCCATGGAATACCTGTAGACCTTCTGGATCGGCTAGTTATAATCCGGACCCAGATTTATAATCCCTCGGAGATGATACAGGTTTATTTTTTATGCTATTTTTCCCCTTATATTGTTGAAATTTCTTCTCGGCTGTCTAGATTTTGGATTGTTCAAAGCCTTCTAATGGACGGGCTCGTGGTTATTTGACCAGATTATAGCAATCCGTGCACAAGTTGAAGAATTGATTGTAGATGAAGAATGTTTGGCATTCCTTGGGGAAATCGGACAACGAACATCACTAAGGTTAGACTCAATCCCATCACCGCCTTTTGCCTGACTCATCTACTCATCGTTGTTTTATTACACAAGTTAACTTCTGGTTTTCTTCAGGCATTCAGTTCAGCTCTTGTCTCCTGCCAGCATTGTGGCAAAAATGAACGGCCGTGACCATATTTGCAAGGTAAATTTTGTGTAGTTTTAGAAACGCTTTGCATAAACGAACTCGGGGTAAAGATGGATACTTTAGATCATTTCTCCGGACACTTCTTCAATGGTGGAAGAAGGGTTCTAACCGAGAGTTGATCTGCCCGTCGAGCAAAACTTGAACTGAATTCAGCATTACCATCTGGCTCAAGGCGATACCCTCCAAAACCGGGGCATTATACAAAACAGAAAGTCCGGAGCTTTATCGAGTTTAGTCATATTTCAGATCACGGCAGGTAAATTTCAGGCTGTTCTTCTCATTCCCGTATCGTTTTCTCTCCCATTTCCAGGCTGATCTTGAGGAAGTGACGGCGCTCTATCTAGACGCAAAGTCGTCAGCAAGGGTCCTGCAAGAGCAAGAAGACAAATACATCTCGTGAGAAAATCCCCGCTTTCAAAAGATAGCCTTTTTCACCGTTAGCTGCCGAATCCGACGAGGTTGCTTCTCGTTTTTTCCTATTGCGGATAGCCTAATGAATTCAAGCGATTGGTTTCGGTGTAATATTCGGTTTTCTCATTTGGGTGATGACGAAAACTTGGTTATTGAGATTGAAAAGTTAATGTACGGAGGAGAGGATTCAGATGGGTTTTGATCAATCTTGGCTCAATCCTTGGTATCTTTGACTCATGAAAGAGTAGTGGGGTCAAATTTATAAACAATAGAAAAATCAGGGTTTGGATAAATTTGACATCGATTTCTCAATGCATTGAACACAAAAATTCGATATTTAAATATATGTATTTGTAACATTAAAATAATAACCAATATGATTTTTCTTTTTAGAAGGTGTGATTAAAAACTGGTGTAAAAATCTATCATGCAGATACATATATATATATATATATATATATATATATATATATATATATGTATTCACCATTTTGAAATTTACCTTCATATCATACTACAAGAAGTGCACAAAAGTTGTTGCTGTTGATATACAAATCTATAGATAAAAACACTAATTTGTGTTAAGGGTTAAGCCTTTTTAAAACTTTCATCCTGAGAAATTTATTTTTTTGTTTTGTTTTTTGAACCGAATTTTTTTAAAAACGTATTAAATATACGAAAAAAATATGAAATAATATAATTAAATTTTAGTTTTATTTATACTTTTTAGATATATATATATATATAATACATATTTTTAGCTAGGGAGGTATCGATGTGTCAGAACGATATCTAGTGATGTGTTCTTGATCTTTGAGTTTTGGGTATTTTAGTGTTATTATAATATTATTATTTCATTTTTTTATAATATAATGTGTGACCAACGTTGTAACTTGTAACTAACAGAAATGAAAAGAACAGAAATTAATTCATAAAGTTTGACCAACCTCCATTGATTCATAAATATTTTTAATAATATTGTCTCTTCATTTTTTTTTATCCTTTTTAAATATTTTTTCACGTTTAAAACGAACTATAAACGTCACTCCACGTCAAAAATACTCGGCTTTGACATGATATTTCCAATTATTTATACGACTAAACAATTCTTTTTAATATTTGCTCAAATGCTCCAAATGCTACCAATACGTTGTTGATATATAATAATAATAATAATAATAATAATAATGCAGCTAATTTTATAATTGATGGTGTGTTGCATTCAACATCGGCAAAAAGAAATAAAATATTCAATGTTGCTTGGGATTGACTGATCAATCCAAATACGCTATATATATGGTTATATAAAAAAAAAGTAACATAAATAATCCGAAAATTTCTAAATAGTATATATTTTCCAATCGATTTTCATATTCTATATATTGAAATTGGAAAATAATTTTTTTCACCACATGTATCTTAAGAAAGGCACATCACAACGTTATAACTTAAGTGTTTTATGATGCTAGTTGAATATCGCTATCATAAATACCCTCTTTTTTCTACAAATGGTATTTTTCTTTAGTATTTTTTTTTGGTAAAATTTTTTTCTTTAATCTTGAGCTTGTTTTCTTAATCACCATCATACTTATTCTTACCCTCTTGCTAAATATTTTAAAATTTAAATTTATTTTTTTATATATTGGTTACTTTTTAATAAAACATTTTCGTTACCCTCGATGGAAATATCTAGCATAGGGTAAAATTAATAATATTTCGCAAGTTCCACGTTTTTTGCCATGCGGTTGGGGTATATGTTGAGAAAATGCAAAAACCAAACAATTATACAAGTGAAAAATATTTTAAAATTTTAGATTTAAATTAAATTATATATCCCTCTATGTTTTCCATACAAACAAGATACCTTCGATCACCGCCTAATGCTCTCTTCTTCTTATTCTCATCCTCTTCCGACGGCGGAACATCCGCCACGTGGCGGAGTCGGAACGACTATCTCCGCCGTCCCACACGACGTCGTGCGGTCCCACATCATCCCATGCCTCGACGGCGCTTCCGTCGCCGCTCTGAGCTCCGCCTCCGTTGAGCTACACTCCCTCTGCACCGACGAACACATTTGGCGGGACAAATGCATCGCCACGTGGCGATCCTTCCTGGACCCACGTGTACAGCGCGTGATCTCCACACTCCCCTCCGGTCACCGCTCTTTCTTCTCCGACTCCTACACTCACCTCGGCCTCCGGCGAGGCCTCGTCGATCTCCCACCGTCGGTTGCGACAAAGGAGTTGATCTCAGCCGTTGATATTTACTATAAAGGGGAAGTGATTTTCTCAAAGGTTCAAGAGACGGAGACGGTCTCCGGCTGGTTCCTCTGCTCGCCTTTCCGGGTCGATCTCCTGGACCCGAAGGAATCGGTTTCGACCCGGATTCCGTACAACGACCAATGGGACGAGGAAACGTGGGTTCGCAACGCGGAGGAGAACCTCTCTCTCAGCTGGATCCTCATCGACCCGACTCGGAAACGCGCGGCGAACGTATCCTCCCGAAGACCCGTATCGGTGCACCGCCACTGGCTGACCGGAGAAGTCCACGTCAGATTCTCCACCGTTTTGGCGGGGAATCGAAAGAGGAAGTCTTCGTCGTCGTCGGAGCTGGTGGAGTTCGCGACGGAGATGGTGATGGCTCCGGAGGCATCGGCGGTGGAGGTGAGGGAGGTGAGCCTGGTGGCGGAGGACATGGAGGGGAAGAATCTGGGAGGGGAGGGCAGTCTGGTAATTTTGACAGCGGCGATGGGAGGCGGGAGAAGGCGAGGAGGAGGGGAGGAGAGGTACAGAGAGCTGGAGCAGAGGAAGAGGGAGGCGAGGGAGGAGAAGGGGCGGAGGCGGAGTTCAAAGGCGGTGGATACGGCGGCCTGCGTGGTCGCCGGCGGAGCCGCGGTGGTGGTGAGTTTTTGGCTATGTTTATATTTGTGTATCCGCCAAAAGTTGGTGGTTATAGTGAACAAACTCAAGTAGCAATTCTAGGAAATAACTTCTTTGCTTCAAAGTGAATATTTCTGTCTTTTGTATATTTTTAATAAAATTTTTTAAAAAAAAAAACATAAGCGGTACCAAAATTTGAGAGAGTTATACTGATAAATCAATTTCAATTTTTTAAAAATAATTTATTCGAAATTGGTTGGTTATAGATCGGGTATATATGATTTTTGTGTATACTTTCCTTAATCCATGCCTCCATTGTTGTAAATCTATGTCGATCGGTACACAAAATTTATATATCATTCAAATACTTGAAATTAAATACCCATAGATTACGAACATGAATATGTATACGAACATTGCCTTTGGACCCTCGGTCGTAGGAGATGAACTTCGTTTTGGACTTATCTTTTTAAAAATAAAATGTAAGTCCTTTATGCTTTGATTATGGAAATATAGGGGCCAAAATGAAAATAATCCTTTCAACTCGGCCTCTTTTTGATGACGTGGCGGAAACCTGTCTGCCGTACTATACCCGCGCAACAGCTGGGGAAAAGCACGGCGAAACCTGAATATTGGATAAACCCCACAGTGAGCGAACTTCATTGCACTTTCAGCCCCACCGTCAATACTTTCTCTCCGATTCCCGAGAAAACTCTCTTAATCCGCCACGAGATTCTCCATCAATCCTTGTTCGGAGGTTCTTTTTGCTCTTTTTACCGTCATCTGCGATTCTCTCATGGCGGGGGAGATTTCGAATGAGACGGAGAAGTCGCTGGCGTCAGCGACGGCGTTCCCAGGGTTTAAGTTCTCGCCGACGGACACGGAGCTGATCTCGTACTACCTGAAGCGGAAGATCGACGGCATGGAGAGGTGCGTCGAGGTGATTACCGAAGTCGATATTTACAACTTCGAGCCGTGGGATTTACCTGGTCCGTTCTTTTGATCTTGCCCTAATTTTGGTTCTCGTGTCTTCTGTCTGGTTCTCTTGCTGTTTGCCTGATTCTCAGCGGAGCTCTCTTTTGGTTTTCTTTTCACTTTTTTTGATGCGAACAACTTGCTATGTTGTGTTTATGTCCAAAAACTTTTGGAGAAATTTCCATTTCGAGAGCCGACGGACGAGTCCTGTATTTTCGATGTCGACTAAGAAAGTCCAATTCTCTCTCTCTCTCTCTCGTGTTTTAGTGCAACTTTTTTATTTGGTTTCGGGGAAGTGTATAGCTCTGTAAAAACCCTTGTCCATAAGTCCTTGGAATCTCTAGTCCATGCGTAATCCATCTCATATGGGTCGTTGCTAGTCATTGTCTTGGAACTGGGAATTTTACCCGGGGGAGGGGGGAGACGGAGCTTGGAGGATGAAGTCCATTGAGGTTGATGGTGTTTTTGTATCCTCTGTCTGAAATTTGATATGTGCGAATATGGAACCCATCCTCCTCTTTGGATTTCAGTGACGCGTTCGACAACGTATTATATCCTTGGACCTGCTGACATTACTCTATTGATTTCATCATGCTATTCCTCAAAGTGAAAATATTGCAAGGAAAAGACCGAACGAAAGAACTTGCTTGTGTTGAAACACACTCCCATAATAGGGGAAATGCATCGATCTGATGTATGGATGTTTGTAGTCAAGCTTTAGCTTGATGTACAATTGACTTAATGCTGGCTTAGCTCTATGAAATGCTAATGGCTTTTCGTTTTTGTTTCGGTAATTGACCAGTTGTTTTGTGTGCTTCTTCTCAGACAAGTCCATTGTTAAAGCTGAAACCGAATGGTTCTTCTTCTACACCCGTGGGAGGAAGTATCCCCATGGTTCACAGAACAAGAGGACAACACAGAAGGGATTCTGGAAAGCCACCGGGAAAGAACGTAACGTGAAGTCGGGTGCTGAAGTGATTGGCACAAAGAGGACGCTAGTATTCTATGTTGGCCGTGCGCCTAAAGGTGAAAGAACGGAATGGATTATTCATGAGTACTGCATGAAGGGAGTACCGCCGGTAAAAATTTTCAGATTTTTACGTTTCTCCCGCTACATAATAGTATATTGGCACTCAAATACTAAGTTTTACGAACTGCGGAACAAAGAAAGTCATTGGTGGTTTTAAAGGTGTTGCTGTGGCTACTTAAAAGCTATTTCGAGGGTTGTGTTATGTAAGAACCCTACATGATTGATTTGTCTTTTTTGGGTTCCCTGCCACTGTATCGTGTAGGATGCTCTGGTTGTTTGCCGGCTGAGGAGAAATACTGAATTCCAAGCTTCTTCGAGTGAAAAAACGGTAGAGCAGAGTCTACCAACCGACAAACTTGCTACTGTACAAAATGGATCTAGCTCAGAGAACATTTCTGAGTGGGAAAACATGATTGATTATTACTTATCGTCCGAAGCTGGGCAGGAACCAATCAATGATATTACGGAATCAGCAGGGCAGGAACCAATCGATGATATTACGGAATCAGCGCAAGATCAGGTTGGTCATATTGTATCGAATTTCTTCAGTTGTTTTCAAATATGTGCTACTGAGTTACTCTTGGAGAGATAAACATTGGAAATCCTCTACTCTACGGAAGAACAGAGCTAATGGAAAAGTTCCTGTAATGCTGTCGTTTGTTATAGAAGCTTCCAGTATGATTTTCGTCTTCGGGTTCAGGTATATATAAGATTTGTGCTACTGTTTCTTGATGGATGATATTCGTTTCAGGCACCCATCGACGAAGATTTCTACGCAGAGATCCTGAGAGACGACATCGTGAAACTAGACGAGGCAGTGATCCAAGGAAAACCTGAAACCGAAATCCCGAGGATGCAAACGGAGGCAACGGCATCAAGGGTACTCCCGTTGCCAAACATCTTAGACGAAGAAATGAAAACGGTTGTACAAGAAGAGTTGGCCCCCAAAACGCAAGGAAGCCCAGAGCACGAGCGATTGTCGAAATGCTTGTTGGGTTCAGTAAAGACGGTGAACCGTAATCGCTGGTTCAGTGGCATAGCCGTGGTGGCTGTTGTGGTTATGTTCATTAACCACTTGGCGTGGGGGGGCGATGACTAACTGAGCGTTGGTTCTTCTACTCTCCCGTTTTAGTTCTCCAAGCATATATTCCTTCCAGGATGGATGTGGATGCTGTAGTGTTTTGTTAGGTCCCTTCCTTTTGTCTCCTTTTTCTTTCCTTAAAATCCTTGTAACATATCTCTGTAAAGATGCAGTGGAGATTAAAACACTGTGTCAGAGCGACTTTCTATTTTTATATTAATGATTTAGGACTTTTAAAAAAAATTATATTAATTAAAAAAATAATTTTATAAAAACTTGAATATTAATTTTTTGAATTTTTAGATTCTATTAACACTATAAAAATTCTAATGACCTTAACCTTGTTTACTAGTATTTACTATTATGAATATTGGATTGTTTGCACAAAGTGGGTAACTTGTGGGTAATTAGCAATTAAATCATTTATTATCTTCTCCTCTCTCTCTCTCTCTCTCTCTCCCTCGGTCGCAGTAAGATTTCTCTCCGCATCCGCCATTAAACCTCTGCTTCGCTGTGCTCCTTGCTCTGTATTCTCTACTACGCGAAACCAGTTGTAGGAACAGCTGTTACGTGAACCCATTTGATATCTCATTTGATTTTTAAGCATCTCAATCAATTTCTTCATAGACTGCGTTCCGACCCTACGGAAAACCCTAGAGAGGACGACGGTCTCCTTTGTTGACCATGAAATTGGGGGTTTCCTCTGCTCGAATTCCATCTGTAAGTTCGAAGTTTCTCTTTTCCATTTTGTTGAATCATCCTCTATGCTTTTTTTTTTTTTTCTGTTTTGGCTGCCGAGAAGATGGTTATAAGGAAACCGAAATCAGATCATACTTAGACTTGAGGGATTCAATGCTTTGTTCTCCTATAGGTCGAGTTGATCTGGTGCTAATAGAGACCCTATGCAAACCCTAGGCGGAGAGATTGATCTCGACTTGCCCTTTTTGGTATCTCCTTCTGAAAATGTTGTGTTTACTTTTGTTTTCGTGGGTACTGTCTGATAGCTAGACATGCCTCACTGGTTTAGCTACTTGTCCAGAAAGTATGTGTTCTGAGTCTTTGGCGAACCTATTCTCAATCTCATTTTGGATTTGTCTGGAGATTCGGTGGGGAATTACTCTTCAGTGGTTTTAAGAGGATCGAATTGGCTAATTCTTCTGAATTGGGACAGGTGTTTTAAGAATTGAATTTAGCGACATGTCGAGGCCCATCCTGCTCGTCTTTCTGCTAGTCATACTTATAGTCACCTCTCAGTTCGAGTGGAGGCAACCCCTTGTTTCTGACCTCGATGCAACTCCGAGCCTGTCTCAGAAACAGCTTCAAGCATCGAAAAGGGAAGAATCCGTGAAAGAGAAGGTACTTGTTGCGAATTCTTTCTTGGAACATTCTGTGTGTTCTCATTGAAAGTTGTGTCATTAGTTGTACGCAAAATACCCGAAACGTTTTCTGGAGTTGTGACTCGTGGACTAGTCGTAAACATCAGAAGAGTTATGAGTAGAGAAGCTACGTTAAGGTGCCTGATGATTATGTCTCATCTTTTTGTTTTCTCCTTTCTCCTTTCGCCTTAAAATATATGGCTTTGTTCTTCGCAATCTACTGGTTCAGATCCACTTCATGGGCTTTTTCGATGAACTGGGTTTTAATCCTTGGTTGTAGTTCGAAAATAATATTTTTACGTGGGATCCATTGTCTTCGGCTTTATTCCTGGTTTCGACAAGCTTCTACAGGGCTTTTCATTTGTTTAACATCTGCTGGAATTTGATTTTGTCTTATTTCCTTTTCCTCTTTGTTATTGCTCTGGAACCCGTCAGATGACTTATCCAAATTCTTAATGTTGCATTGAAATTGTTTTCTGGATAATCTCGGTGGTTATCTCTTTAGTAGTTTCCCCTGATGCAACTTGTAACTGATGGGAATGGAGAAGAAATAGGATAGAAAGCTTGCTAGTCTTGAATTAAATTTTTTTGAGGATTCAATTGGATATTCATTGAGCATCAGTGCATGAATAACCTCATGTTTCAATGTGAATTAGAACCTCGATGTGTTTTCTAGTCCGTCCTACCCTTCCTGCT